ATGTGGGGAGTGCTCACAAATGCTTCAGGGAGAAGATGGCATTGGAATGGAGGGTTTTTTCCTACAACTTTTTATTTTTTCTTTTTTTTAAATGACCATTTTTAAAGTCTTACTGAATTTGTTACAATATTGTTTGTTTTATGTTTTGGTCATTTGGCCAGGAGGCATGTGAGATCTTAGTTCCATAACCAGGGATATAACCTACACCCCTTGCCTTGGGAAGCATAATTGTAATCACTAGACAACCAGAGAAATCCCCTGGAATGAAGAGATTGTTGGATAGAGAGAAACAGGAGGCCTTATGATCGAAGGTTTAGGTTGGGTATACAGGCTGCAGAGGTTTAGGTAGGGTGTTTGGAAACAGCCAACAGTCCAGGTGGGGTGTAGGAGGCACTCGTGGTGGTGGTAGGAGGCAGGCTAGAGAGAGGTAAGGCTGGAGGCTTGACTTCACCTTACAGTTCATGGGTAGCTACTGAGGGTTTGTGAAGGGTTTTGATACAACCAAGGGAAACTGAAATAGAACATTCCATGAGATTACAGAACTACTCTATACTCATGAGGTAGTAAGGGCTCAACTCATACTGGCTGTGGAAAATGAAACACTTGAATTTTTAGGATTTACTGATTTACTGTGGGGTCAGCAGGTTTTTTCTGTTAAGGGACCAGAGTATTTCAGGCTCCTTTATAAGACAAACTGTAGTGATGTGCAAGCAGCCATATGTGATAAACCAGTAAGTATGAATGTGTTCCAGTAAAACTTTATTTATTTACACTAAAATATGAACTTCATATAATTTATATGAAATGTTATAAACTATTATTTTTTTTCCAACCATTTAAAAGTAAAAAACCCATTCTTAGTTCTTGGGTCATCCACAAATGGGTAGTGGCCCAGATTTGGCCCACAGGCCATAGTTTGCTGACCCCTGAGTTACTTGACTGGATTTGAGATACAAAGGAGTGAGACTCAACTGAGGTTTTGAGTCTGAGTTGCTGAGAAAGTTAAATTATCATCAGCAAATCAGAGAAGTGAGGAGAGTGAGCAGTTTGTAGAAGAGTGAGTTCCGTTCTAGACAAATCCTTTGGTGTTTTTGAGAAGTAAATACCCCAGCACCATCAACAAGTCGGATCAAAGCGATCAGCCATGCACAAGTGGGAACAGAACAGTCGGTGCCTGAGGTACAGGTTTGAGAAGCACCACCCCATTTGCATAGAGGGGCTGGCTGATGTTACGAGGTGAGAGAGCTCTTGGGAGAACGCTGCTTCTGGAGAAAGCTTATAGTTCGGGGCAAGAGGGAGGGGAGCTGGTGAAGGGGAGTGTACAGGGTACAGGTAGGTGTCTGGTCTGTTTGAGCATAAATTAGTACACCTTGATGTAGGCAGGTCTTGTGGAAGAAACAACAGTCCATTATTCTCATACTCTCCTTTTTCCTGATCTCTAATGGATTCATTCTTTTTAAGAACCAGAGGATCATTGAGTAAAATAAGCCTCATAACTCAAGTATCAACATTCTGTCCCTTGGAATGTTTCAAAGGACCTTTTACACAGCTCCATCAGGTGACATGTCAAGTGTTTGTTGCAATATGAGTTTCGGTGGTGGGGTCTGGAGGCAACCAAATATGTTTGACACTGGGTGTGTAGGTAGGTAAAATGTGGATTCACATCACAGCATTGAGCAGCAGGTAGAAGAAGTGATAAAATACATTTCTATAACATAAATGGACTTTTTAAAAAGATACGTAATGGGGAAAGGAGGAAAATAATGTACAGAAAAACATTCTGTAAATTAGAAAACACACACGAAACAATACTATCTTCAAGAAAATCCACAAAAAGTAGATATATTGAAAGGATTGCCTATTTGAGGAAGGAAAGGAATGGGAGTGAGATATGGAGGTGAAAGAAAAGAAACAACAGGAATAATTTTTTAAAGAAAAACAACTTAAGTGATAGGGTAGTTATATCCAAAGGATGACTGCCTTACAACCGTTTAAAGTCATATTTTATTTATAAAGAGTCTTACTATGTAAGACTTACCTTTCCTGGTGGCTCAGATGGTAAAGCATCTGCCTGCAATGTGGGAGCCCCAGGTTTGATCCCTGGGTCGGGAAGATCCTCTGGAGAAGGAAATGGCAACCCACTCCAGTACCCTTGCCTGGAAAATCCCATGGTCGGAGGAGCCTGGTAGGCTACAGTCCATGGGGTCGCAGAGAGTCGGACATGACTGAGCGACTTCACTTACTATGTAACTTTAAATGACAGCAATATAAATACATATATAGAATCTAATTTTGTAAAAAAAAAAAAAATCTGTAATGAAAAACCTCTAACATTATTTTTTGGAGGTGGAATTGTGATTTGAATTCTTTTTATGTTATGTTCTAAATTGAATATTTATCATTTTTGTATAAGGGTGAATCAGTAAAGGGTGAAGAACTTTTAAAAACACAGACCTCCAAAGAGGGGTAAAAAAGGCAGTAGTATAATGTTGGACTGCCAGATGAGGGGGAGGGAGCATCCATCCGTGAGGTTCTTTACAGGTTTCGAGAGGACCCTCAGCAGCAAGCAAGAGGAGTGTCAGTCTGACTACCGTCTCCTGTCTCCTGTCCAGCTCTTAGAACAAGCCCTGGTGATTGAGGAGCAGCTGCGGCGAGCAGCTTACCTCAACATGTCCGAGGACCCCTCTCACCCGTCCATGGCCCTCAACACCCGATTTGCTGAGGTGGAGTGTCTGGCGGAGAGTCATCAGCACCTGTCCAAGGAGTCCATGGCAGGAAACAAGCCAGCTAATGCAGTCCTGCACAAAGGTAGCCAGTGGCTCCCCTGCCTCCTGCCAACCTGGCCTCTTTCCTTCTCTGCCTCTCCCCAGTACACGGTTACTCCTCCGGCCCCAGCCTTTCACCAGCCCCTTTGTCTGGGAGCTTAGGGTATGCTGGGGATCCTCGCCTTCCTCCTCAGGCAGCTGACATCTTAGAGGCAATCAAGGACAGTAGTTCTTTTCCTCTTAACTCAAATATATTGAAGTTCTTGGAGGTGGAAACAAAGCAGAATAATGCAGTTTCATCTGTGGTAGTGTAGAGGTAATTTCAGGTGATTTAATATCCTGTCAAATTCTAGACCGTTTTCAACATGCAGTTTCTGATTAAAGTTAAGACACTGTGAGGTGGGTGGAAGGTGAAAGGACAGAAAGAAGGCTGGTGTAAAGGAAGAAGGGAGAGCTCCAAAAGGAGAGGAAAGAGAAAAGGAAACAATAACTATTCAAGAAGTGGAGGAAATAAGAGAAAATAGGGATCAAGGGACAGGTGACTTAAAAATCATAGAATCATGGGCAACTGGAACATGAGGAATAAGAAATACGTGGTGGAGCCAGGTCAGGTGACTCAGTGACAATGACAGTATTTCAGCACATCAGTTACTCGGTTACTGAGAAGTACTAGGGGGAAGGGATGGTCCCCATATGGGAGGACGGACCTGGGTCTTGACCACAACGGCTCACCGCCTCTTTTTCTCCCCATGCAGTTCTGAAACAGCTAGAAGAACTGCTGAGTGACATGAAAGCTGATGTGACTCGACTCCCAGCCACTATTGCCCGAATCCCCCCAGTTGCTGTGAGGCTACAGATGTCAGAGCGTAATATTCTCAGTCGCCTGGCAAACCGGGCACCTGAACCACCTCCACAGCAGGTATAGGACTATCTTCCTCTGGCCAGCTGTTCAACAGAGCCATTCCGCAACTTGGAAACTTTGCTGTCTGTCCCTAGCTTTACAGGCTGGGCAGCGGGGTGGGCTTACTGAGTTCTCTTGGGATCTGGTGGGTTGCTGTGGTCTTGGAACTCTTGACTCCCTTGGCCTTCTCTTCTTATAGGTAGCCCAGCAGCAGTGAAGACCCAGATGGAAAATACCACCTCCACCGCTGAGCAGTGACCTTCCTCACTTTCCCTTGCCCAGATTCTCCCCTGGGGGCCCGAGAGACCCTCTTCTTCCTTCTGCCCCATCTTCTAAGTTGTAGAGGAACAGCCCCCTGAGCACTAGGGGAGGGGAGGGAGTGAGGGGCAGTGGTGCCCTTCCTGCTGGAGAGACGTGCAGCAGTAGCGCCGGGGCCATCTGCAGGGAGCTGGCGGGCTGGCCTTCTGGGCCCTGGCTTCTCCCCACTGTAACACCGTCTGTTACACACGAACTGTTGTGGGTTCCCGCCAGGCTTGAAGAAAATGATCTGAATTTCTTCCTCCTTCCGGTTTTATTTTGTTGGTTGATTTTGTGTTTTGTTTTCTCCTTTTTGGGGGGTATTCACAGTGGGCCGGGCCCCTGGGCGAGACACAGCTACCTCTGTTGGCATCTTTTTAATACCAGGAACCCAGTGGCTCCAGCCCCTGAGCGGCTAGAATGAAATAAAGTGGAAAAAGAAAAAAAAAAGGAAAAGAACCAAAAGCATAAAAAAAAAAACAGCAGATTTCTTGATGAAAACTGAAAATAAAAGTTTCCTTGTATTTTAGTGCTCTGGTTCAGTGTGGGTGTAGGTGCAGGTGGGTGAGTGAGTGATGGGAGCCCTGGGACACGTGTAATTAGAGAATAGGGGTTTCCTTGTATCATCAGAGTCCATGGAAGAGTTGAGTCTCCCATCTGTACACGTGTTCCGGGCAGGACGCTGTCCCCTGTGCACAGCCGCCACCCCCCACCGCCACCCGCGGTTCACAACCTGAGCCACGCGCGAGCCTGCGAAAGCTGGATTCTCCAAGCTGTAGAGATATCATGCATAAAATAAAAGGATCTTCCTCGCAGTGTGAAGATGGAACCAGGGCTGGAACAGTATTTTAACCAACCGAGCGCCACCTTGGTGTTTACTTGCAGAAAGGCTGAAGTCGGTTTTTCTGTTAACTTGCGTGGGTGAAATGTGGACACGAGATGCCTTCCTCCCGACCTCCAAGATGGGAACCTGGTTAGAGAGAAGCCTTACCTGAGGGGCAGCGCGGGTCCTGCGGTCAAGGAAGAGGTTTTCCGCGTCACAGGCGTGGGGGCCCCGATCTCGGGGCGATGTCAGGCGGAGGGCCCAGCTCTGGCGCCAGTGTTCGAGGGGCAGGGGTGGCTTCCGGGTACAGTACTTCCAGCTGAAGTCTACGAGGCCAAAGGCCCACGCCCGGAGTGTAAGGCAGGGAAGTCGAAGACGCCTCGTGGGCACCGCCTTCTCCGCCTGGAGGGGAGAGCGGAGCTGTCCGCTCCGGTATCCTGCCCGGCCTCGCGCCGGCCCGACGAGCAAATAAACGTTCCGGCTTCCTCATCGGACCCGAAGGCCGGAAGAGGCGGGACCTCGGGGCGCGCAGTACGCCTGCGCGAAACGTTTCCGTGGTGTGGCGTCTGATCTCCTGGGCGAGCCGCACGTGGAACTCTGTGCCTGCCTCTTCCAGGTGAGCCGAGGCTTCGGGCGGGTCTGAACGAAGTCGGGTGAGAGACAGTGAGACGCTGACTTGGATTGGGGCGTGGGTGGAGGGGCACCTGGGGCGTGGGACCCAGGGCCCGGGGCTCAGCGTGGAGTGGAGGTTTGGCTAGGCCTCGAGAGGCTAGGGGGCTGCTGAGTCGAGGTTCTGATGGAGTCACTGCCCTTTGCAGACCGTCTGCGGTCTGCCTTTCCCTTTCAGCACGTTTACCGTCTCCCGTTTTTATGTTCCCTAGGACCATGGGGCGCAAATTGGACCCTACGAAGGAGAAGCGCGGGCCGGGCCGAAAGGCCCGGAAACAGAAAGGTGCAGAGACCGAACTCGCCAAATTCTTGCCTGCAGGTAAGGGTCAGGCGTGCTTCCGCTCCTGATACTCCCGCTTTTGGGTTATTCTTCCATTATAGCCTAACTCCTTCGTTTTTTTTTTTTTTTTGGTCTGTGTGTTCATTTTCTGTTCAAACAGAACTTTGTAATGATTTACTAGAAGACTAGTATGAATGAAGTACTCTCATTAGCATTTAGAACTTAGGGAAGATGCAGCAGGGACACAAGAAGCTATGCAAGGAGAGGTGTGGTTTAAGTCACTGTTGAGGTCGAGTTCCGAGGAAGGGGCAAGCCATAGAGTTAAGAGAGCTTAAAAGGTTTCTGTAAAGAAGTTGGGTTTTGAAAAAATGGTGTATCAAGTGAGAGTTGGGAAGGGGGGCAGTCCAGTCACTGTGAACTGTGTTGTGGAGGGGATGGAGACGATAACCACAAATCTGGTTCCTGCAGAACACTTGGTTGTCTACTGCATGGAAGAGAGGGCTGGAGGGGAGAAGGAGCAGGTAGTTCATGTTCATCCTTGTACAAAAGATGTGATTAATTGAGGTGTTGGCAAGTGCTCAACACTGTGCTGAACCCTTTGGGCTCATGTCACCTCAGTGTCCTGTGAGAGAGGCGCTGCTTAGAAAGTGGATGCTGGGAGTTTAACTTGCAGGCAATTATCAATTGTCTGTAATTGATAATTAGCAAAGAGCTGAGATTTAAATATGTTAAGTTATTTAGAAAATATATGAACAGCAGCAGTTGTGGAACCTGTGGTTGGTAACTGATTGTGCTGTTTAGTCACCTCAGTCGTGGCTGACTTTTGGGACCACATGGACTGTAGCCCGCCAGGCTCCTTTGTCCATGGGATTTCCCAGGCAAGAATACTGGAGTGGGTTGCCATTTCCTTTGCTAGGGAACCGAGCCAGGGATTGAACTTGTGTCTGTTGTGTTGGCAGGTGGATTCTTTGCCACCGAGCCATCAGGGAATCCCTGGTAACTGATTAGTTGAGAGTAAAAGAAAGAGCAGAAGAAAGAATCTGTGTTATCAGAATGGTGATGATGCCATTGAAATCAGTCTGGAGAAGGGCCCACTTTGGATTTGGTTGGTGAACAACCAGATGGAGATCGTCTCCTTGGCATCTGTTACCCGGCTCCTGGGAGAGCACAATGGTGTGTGTGCTCTGTCGTTTCCGACTCTTCATCACCCCATGGACTGTAGTCTGCAACGCTCCTCTGTCCACGGGATTCTTCAGGGAAGACTACTGGAGTGGGTTGCCATTCCCTTCTCCATCCCAACTCAGGGATCAAACCTGAGTCTCCTGCATTGCTGATGGATTCTTTATGGTCTAAGCCACCAGGGAAGTCCCCAGAGCACAGTGGAGTGGGTTACAGTTTATTCCCTTTAACTAGTGTTCTAGTTGTTTCTCCTTTTATTTTTTTCTTCCAGTGTTCTTTTTCATTTCTTCTGTAATATTCAATTCTGATTGTTTGTTTTTTAAACAGGTGGTGATGAAAATTCAAAAAGGCTGTCTAGTCGTGCTCGAAAGAGGTGAGTGTGTCCAGACCTACATTACACGGATTAAATCGGTCCTGCTCATCTTTCAGCATGTGATCCCATGTGATCAAGCTGATGGGAAGGGCTGTTGGGGACTGCCACATTTCCCTGCCCTGGAGGTGGCAGAGCCTGGGGGTGTGTTCTATTTTCCACTTTTTATGTGGTTTTAGGGCAGCCAAGAGGAGGTCGGGCTCTGCTGAAGCCCCCGAGATGAAAAAGTCCCGTGGGGCTAAACCATTGCCTGGGAAGCTACCAAAAGGTCAGTGAAAATAAGAGCTGGGTGCTACATTAGGAGTCCTCTGGGTCCTGGGGAAGGAGGGATTTCGCTGAGCATTTCTGACATGAAAGGAACAGCCAGAGGATATTCTCAGGGGTAGAGAGGGCAGGCTCCATCAGTGTGTGGCTGCCGCTGGTCTAGGATTCTGCAAACCCTTTGGGGTCTCTGCAGGAGCTGTCCAGACACCTGGTAAGAAGGAAGCCTTGTCCTTATTTAACGTTGCTCGAGGCAAGAAGCGCCCAGCACCAACCCATAGCAGTGAAGAAGAGGAGGAGGAAGACTCTGAAGGGGATGGTGTGGTGAACCAGGGGGACCTCTGGGGCTCTGAGGACAGTGATGCCGATATGATAGATGACTATGGAGCTGACTCCAACTCAGAGGACGAAGATGAGGATGACGGTGAAGAGGTGAGTTCCATCCCTCTGGGTCTCCCAGAAGCGATCCTTGCCTTTTATTGGAGTCTTTCCAGATCACTTTGACTGTCTCTCAGTGATGAGGGTAAGCCTGAGTAGAGAAAAGGGACTTTGGTATGCCATCACTCTTTCAGAGCACTGGTTACCTCCTTTCGACACATGTGCAAGTTTAGAAGAGCCATAATAGGGGGATAGAGTACTTTGAAAACTGAGAATGCTCAGTGCTGGTAAGGATGTGGGAAAGGGCACACTTAAATGGCCCCACTGATGGCAATAGAAATGTGCATACATGTTTTTAAAAGTTTTCTTAAAAATCATCTGGTATCTGAGAATCTTAAACAGGTTTTTCGTTTTGATATAGCAGTTCCACTTTAGGAACGTGATCAAGGATGTAGACAAAGGTTTACTTGTTAAAGTATAAAAAGTTATTACGTATTATACAGTTCGTATATTTGTGTTATTAGAAAAGTTCAAGCAAAATCCAGTAAAGTGTCCACTTGCACCCCTCGCCCACGAACCCCCTCCTCTCTACAGAGCTACCATTTTGAAGTTTCCAGGCACCATCTGTGTGGACCATAATGCCAAAACTCTGGAAGCTTCCAAAATGTCCAGTTTACTTAAGTGAATTAAAGTTCATTCATACATGAAATCAATGTTTGGCCAATATGTCTGTGAAAATGCTTGTGTTCTAACTGTGAATGAGAAAGGCAAGAGGCAAACTTGAAAATGCATCATGATTTTAACTGAAAAATGATGTAAAGTAAGTGGGGGGGCGGGAATACAGCAAAACGGGCACCCTTGGGGCAGTTTTCGTCCCCACCCCGTGTACATATGGTGTGGGAAGACCAGTATAATGAACCCTTTGAATCCCTCGTTTTATTTCAACAATGGTAAATGTTGTGCCAAGCGTACAGTCACTTTTGTAGGGTTTATATTTTTTTCTGGGAGCAAGAGTTAAATGTTTGTATTTAGGGAAGAAACAGGTGGGAAGTGTTCTGTGGGCTGGTGGATTGGCCGGCTTTGCACTGCCAGCCGCTTGTCTTTCTTTTCAGTTGCTGCCCATTGAAAGGGCTGCTCGGAAGCAGAAGGCCCAGGAAGCAGTTGCTGGGTGAGTTGTGGAAACTATTCGTCGGATGGAACGTAGGTGCCAGCTGGGGAGGAGGAAAGCTCAAGGAAGGAGGAGGTATCTGCTTTGATCTGTTAGCCGCCCTGCTCCTGGGTTTGTGTGCAGGGGCCAGTGGAGCGAGGAGGAGACTGATGAAGAGGAGGAAGAGGAGCAGGCGTCTGCAGGGTCAGGCCCCGGAGAGGACGAGGAGTCAGAGGGGGGCCTGCAGATCAATGTGGAGGAGGAGGAGCCTTTTGTGCTGCCCCCTGCTGGGGAGATGGAGCAGGATATCCTTCCAGAGCAGGGTCTGGGGGGATGTGTTTGTGAGAAGGGGTTTCCAGGCCCGCTCTCCCCCCATTATGCACACACCCAGAAACATTTCCTTAATGGGCCCACATGCCCAAGCTCCAGACTTGCAGCGTGTTCACAAACGCATCCAGGATATAGTGGGCGTGCTGCGCGACTTTGGGACTCAACGGGAGGAGGGTCGGTCCCGCTCGGAATACCTGCAGCGGCTTCGCAAGGACCTGGCCACTTACTACTCCTACGGAGACTTCCTGCTGGGCAAGCTCATGGACCTCTTCCCTCTGTCTGAGGTACCCACTCGCTCGTCCCTGATGCTGTTCCTGTATGTCTTTCCTCTTCCCCCATGTAAGGAGGTAGCTGGCCTCCTGGCCCTCTGCTCTCCTGGTGGAGCTCCTTGGCCAGCCTGACCCCCTCCCCCCCGCCGTCCTCTGTCCCAGCTGGTGGAGTTCCTGGAAGCCAACGAGGTGCCTCGGCCCATCACCCTCAGGACCAACACCTTGAAGACCAGGCGCCGGGACCTTGCTCAGGTGAGGCAGTGACTTCTGTGCATCCAGAGACTCCTGCATGCCACCCTGAGCATTTCCGGCCACAGTCCAGGGGGGCGAACCTTGACAGGCCTGGTGCCAAGCTGAGTTGATCTGCCGGCTCAGGGCTGAGGACCCCTGTGGAATGGGAAGCTTGTCCCCTCAGCTTCTGCTTCCTGTGACTGGGCAGTGATGGAAGTGCTGCCTCACAGAGAGATGGGTGGAGTTGTCTGCCTCATCAGTCATGGGGAAGCTGGTGAGATCTCGATTCTTGCCTGCAGGAAAAGACAGGACACACAGGTGCAAGCAGTACTTGAATCTTATTGTTTCCGAGGGTTCACGGGCTCCAGGTTAAAAAACGGGTTTAGAGGCAGTGGTGTGGCCCTGTGTGTGGCGTGTCTTCTGGTGTTAGATAACCTGACAACTGTCTTTAAAGTGCTGTCACCAGTAATGTTCAACTGATGGCAAGGGGGCTGAGGCTCTTGGAAGATTGGGTTCTGCTTCCAGGAGACGAAAGAGCAAGAGCTGGCAGTCTGCTCCTTGGGGATGGAGTTCAGACCTTGAGTTAGAACCTGAGGCCCAGGAAGGGGAGACACGGGGAGAGATGGGAGAAACTGCTCAGCGCATCTGTGCCGACTGCATCCTGACAATTGTCGGGCTATGGTGCCACAGGCCTCTGGCTTGGCCATGTCCTCACGTCTCCACGCTCTCTCAGAGTCGACTTCAAGGTTCTAAAACCTTCATCCGTCTCAACCTCTAGGCACTCATCAATCGTGGAGTTAATCTGGACCCCCTGGGCAAGTGGTCCAAGACGGGACTCGTGGTGTATGACTCCTCGGTGCCCATTGGTGAGTGCGCCCTGTCCCGGAGCCCTTCCACCCCTGCCCTCGTCCCAGCGCATCACCTGCAGGCTCTCCTCCACAGGGGCCACTCCCGAGTACCTGGCCGGGCACTATATGCTGCAGGGGGCCTCCAGCATGTTGCCTGTCATGGCCTTGGCACCCCAGGAACACGAGCGGATCCTGGACATGTGCTGTGCCCCTGGAGGAAAGACCAGCTACATAGGTAAGAGGAGGGGCCAGCAGGGCGGGGACTCATCCTCAGGAAGCGGGGGTGGGGTCAGTGACTCGAGGGTGCTCAAGAAACAGCCCCAGGCGGCCCAGCTCTATCCCCATGGGTGCCTCTTCCTGCCCACGTGACCCTGGGCAAGGCCCTGGTCCTCTGTGGTCCTCTGTAGAATGGCGAGGTGATGGTGCACAGGTTGGCCTTTGTGTCTTGCTTGGATCGTGAGAGTTACATGTGTGTGCACAAGTAACCATTACATACAGTTAGTTATAACCACTTAATTATGCTGTTACAACTTGGAAGAAGTAACTGAGGCTGTTGAGTAACAGTGGAAAAACCACCCTGGCAGGTTTGCTCATCACAGGGCCCATCACAGACTGGATGGACAGCGGGGAACATGGCTTCCTGGGGAAGGGCTGAGGCTTCACTGGCAGGTTCCTGGGCTGGCGGGGAGAGGGGAAGCCCAGCAGGTGTGGAGGCAGAAAAGCTGCAGCTGAGCCCTGTGCCCTTCTCCCTCCAGCCCAGCTCATGAAGAATACAGGTGTGATCCTCGCCAATGATGCCAATGCCGAGCGGCTGAAGAGCGTGGTGGGCAACCTGCACCGGCTGGGGGTCACCAACGCCATCATCAGCCACCATGATGGGCGCCAGTTCCCCAAGGTGGGGCTCCCGCTGGGTGTCTCTCCTCCCCACTTCCTGATCTCAGGATGTTGAGACTTGCCCCTGGGAAGCTCACGGTATGGTTCCACTGCCCAAAATATCTGCTTCACCTCCCCTTTCCCCAGGTGGTGGGCGGCTTTGACCGAGTCCTGCTGGACGCTCCCTGCAGTGGCACCGGCATCATCTCCAAGGACCCTGCTGTAAAGACGAACAAGGTGCAGGGGTGGGGGACCAGCTGAGAAGCATTGGCGGGGTAGCTGGGGGAGGGGGCCCCCCAGGCAGCCAGCAGCGCGCTCCTTCCAAAGTTCCCTGTTGGGATTCCAATGCCTGGGTCTCTCCATCTTGGGGGCAGGATGAGAAGGACATCCTACGATGTGCCCACCTACAGAAGGAGCTGCTCCTGAGCGCCATCGACTCTGTCAACGCCACCTCCAAGACGGGGGGCTACCTCGTCTACTGCACCTGCTCCATCATGGTGAGGCCTGTCGGGGTGCGGGAGGGAGCTAGCCTGGGGCTGTCATGCCCTCAGCGCCCCTTCAGCTCCAGCTCTGCTTTCCTTCCGTCTCCCACACACGTCAGGTGGAGGAGAATGAGTGGGTGGTGGACTACGCCCTGAAAAAGAGAAACGTGCGCCTGGTGCCCACTGGCCTGGACTTCGGCCAGGAGGGCTTCACCCGCTTCCGGGAAAGGCGCTTCCACCCCACGCTACGCTCCACCCGCCGCTTCTACCCTCACACCCACAACATGGATGGCTTCTTTATTGCCAAGTTCAAGAAATTCTCCAATTCTATCCCCCAGTCCCAAACGGGTAAGCGATGTGCTCTTTGCTCTCTTCATCTCCGCCTCTGCTCTTTACCCCTCCAGAGACCTTGGAGTGTGGCTGCAGGAAATGGCGGGTCCTTGCACCCCTAACCTAGCCTAGCCTTGAATGCTGGGGTGAGAGATCCTTTTCATTCCAGCTAGAATTGGTCCCAGGCCTGAACCCCATTTGGGTATGTTAAAGGCTTCGCATGGATCGAGCCCTTTCCTCAGTTCTTCCAGGCGGCTGCAGTTGTCAGCCCTGAATGCTCTCCAGTGGGGGAGTGGTTTCTTGGCCCAGGGCGGCCTTCCTGGTAACAGATCTCAGCCTCATCAGCACTGGCTGGCACAGGACTCCTCAGAACCGTCAGTTCTCTGCAGTCTCACTAATTGCAGATGGTTTTCTTGGCTGTCTTGAGTAGTTTGGGCTGGGCTATAAAGGCCAGGGTGGGGTTTTGTGAAACAAACCCGGAGAGCTCTGCCTCGTGGGATGTCACCCTAGGGTTGGTTGGACGAGGGAGAGGCCGGCTTCTTTGCACACAAACTTGGTGACTTTTCTCTATAAACAGTGCCTCTTAACATGAGTCACATTTGAATGTTAACACATCTCTTCAAGAAGTAGCAAAGTACCCTGTATTTTTCTTGCTATAACTTTAGAGATACATATTTAATACCTCAGTCTTCATTCACAAAGTACTAGCTTGTTTTTAGTTACTCTGTGTGCCTTCTTATTTTTCTCCATCTCATCAAAAGCTGCATGGAAGAAAACATCTTTTCTGATTAAAAGAGAAGCCCAGTGCTTCAAGTTTGTTCAGGATTCACCTCCTGCTGGCCGCCAGGGGGCGCAGCTTCCTCTGAAATCCCTTTGGCCCATGGATGGGTAATGGTATCTTCTCTATTACAGATTCCAAATACGACTTGAGTAGAGGCTAGGTGAAACTAAGTAATCTGAATCTAGGTGATCTGCCCTTAGGTACTTCCCCTGTTGTGTGGGGCACTTGGCCAGGAGTGGCACCCAGGAAGTCTCCTTACTTTAATATCTCTGCTTTTCCTGCTCCACTGATGATCATGACCCAGGATGAGGCCTTACTTCTCAGACTGTTTAATTTTAACTACAGGCAATTCTGCGACATCAACCCCCGCAAATCCAGACTTGCCCAACCTGAATGGGCAGGTGACCCCCAAGTCTGAGAGTGGCAGCATACCTGCCAAGAAGACTGGTCAGGCAAAGCAACGGCTGCAGAAACAGCTGCATCCCAAGAAGTCTTCCTCCCAGAAGCAGAATGGCATCTCCAAAGGGATGGATGCAGAATTGTCCGCTGTGTCTTCTGTCACAAAGGCCCAGGAGTCCTCCAAGCTCCAGAACAGCAGTCAGCCGGCTGTAACAGCAGCAGTGGTTAGGGAACTGAAGGAGGCTGGGAAACTAAAGCAACAGTCACCCAAACTGCAGTCCTCCAGGAAAGCTGCCTTCTGGAAGCAGCGTGCTCCTCGCAAGGCCATGGACACAGACTTGCCTGCAGCACTGTCCCTCTCCAAGACCCAAGCCACACCCAAGCCTGAGGACCGTGACCAGCTTGTTGGAAACACCACAGGGGCTGAGAAGGTTAAGCAGCAGGTGGCAGAGCAACCTTTCAAGAAAGCTGCCTTCCAGAAACAGAATGGCACCCCCAAGGGACCTAAGACTCCCACTGTGTCCTCCTGCAGTTCCAGCCGGCCCCCGCCAGCAAAGAGGAGAAAATCTCAGTCCAGAGGCGGCCGTCAGCCTCCGCTGACTTCAGTGGATGGTTGAATTAGACTGCCATTGTTACAGGGTTGGAATTCTTTCCTCTGTGAGGATGGCTTCCCAACCATGGATGTGAAATTTAATACATGTTTTACAGTCTCTGGCCACTGTGTGTTTTTTGGGGGTGGGTACTGGCTTTGCTGCTTAAAGAGCAGAGGAGGGAGGGTGAGACAGGGATCCTCAGAAGAGGGGTCAGAGCAGTGTACTGAGAAATCAGGTCAGTTCCTGGGGACTCGGAAGGAGATTCATGGAGTCAGAGCTGGGTGTTTGGACTCAGGAGGGAGGAGGGCAATAGGAATGTAGATGGATTTCGTGCCACCAGAACTACACAGTACTGGAGGGCCTGGGTTTCAGTCACTCAGCAGCTGTCTGGATTCCGGGTACGGGCCGGGGTCTGCTAGGCTCAGGGCTCAGCCTCAGACCCTGAAAGGTCTGTCCAGGTGCCAGCCTTCGAACGAGCCTTTCATTGGCTTACCCCTTGCCCTCCCCCGCCCCCATGACCTCTGCCCCTCCCGCCGAGCCGTCTGATTGGCTGTCCCGTGTCCCCCTGGCGTCTCATTGGCTCTCCTCCCTCGCCCAACATCCCTGCTCCCGCACGGGTTTCTGTCTCCCAGCAGAAGGCGCAGCCATGAATCCGTTATTCGGCCCCAACCTCTTCCTCCTCCAGCAGGAGCAGCAGGGCCTGGCCGGGCCGCTGGGGGACCCCTTGGGAGGCGACCACTTGGCAGGCGGCGGGGACGTGCCCCCGGCGCCGCTCGCCCCGGCTGGCCCGGCTCCCTACTCGCCGCCGGGGCCGGGCCCGGCGCCCCCCGCCGCCATGGCGCTCCGCAACGACCTGGGCTCCAACATCAACGTGCTCAAGACCCTCAACCTCCGCTTCCGCTGCTTCTTGGCCAAGGTGCACGAGCTGGAGCGCCGCAACCGACTGCTGGAGAAGCAGCTGCAGCAGGCGCTGGAGGAGGGTAAGCAGGGCCGGCGGGGCCTGCCTCGCCGCGACCAGGCCGTGCAGACCGGCTTCGTCAGCCCTGTCCGACCCCTGGGGCTGCCCCTGGGCTCCCGGCCAGCCGCCGTTTGCACCCCGTCGGCGCGGGTCCTGGGGTCGCCCGCGCGCTCGCCGGCCGGCCCCCTCACGCCGTCCGCGGCCTGCCAGCCGGCGCCCTCCACCTCCGCCTCCACCGCCTACTCCTCATCGGCCCGCTTCATGCCCGGCACCATCTGGTCCTTCTCTCACGCCCGCCGGCTCGGGCCGGGACTGGAGCCCACTCTGGTGCAAGGGCCTGGCCTGTCGTGGGTGCACCCCGATGGGGTGGGCGTCCAGATCGACACCATCACGCCCGAGATCCGCGCGCTCTACAACGTGCTGGCCAAAGTGAAGCGCGAGCGGGATGAGTACAAGCGGAGGTAGGGACCGGGAAGGTGGGGACGGGGCTCAGCTCAGGCCGCACTCAGCCGGGGCTACCTGTCCAGGAGCACAGAGCCTCTGGGGCCCAAGAATAAGGGAGGAGTAAGTATGAGTAAAGTTCCTGCTGTTTAAGGAGGAGCTAGGAAGTCCGCAGATGAGACTGGAATCCACAGAGAATGCAGAAGTCAGGCTCGTGACAAGAAGGAGGAGTCTAGGAACAGAATCCTGCCGGGAACCCTTGTTTTTCATCTAGGCAGCAGCGTTTGCACCTCTGTGTTAACTGTGGCGTTTTATGATGTGTAAAAGGGACATTGTTCTGAGAAATCACATATGGGCTACCACTTATATCCCCCTGCCAGCCTCAGCCCTCAGAGTGACTTTGTGATATAAGCTCCAAATACTGATCAGAAGTTAGGGGCAAAGGATGAACCTTTAATTTGGGAATCTAAGTGCTATGACAAGTGGTGGTGGGGTGGGGGGTGGTTTGCGGGTTGGGCTGAACCTTGGAGGAGGTGATCCTGACACTGCCCAGGGTTTCCAAAACAGTGTCCATAGTAGCAGCCTGTGCCTGCTCTAGTTCCACTGCTGCTGAGAGGCTCTGGGGCCCTCAAGGCATTTCTGAGAGTTGATCAAAAAAGGGGGTGTGGGGAAGAGGGAATTCCCTAGGGAAAGGTGAAAGGCCTGTTGTCGACCCCGGGCGAGTGAAAGCCGAGGGGATCTGAAAGTGCAGGAGGAGGTGTGACGAGGGTGGCAAGGACCTGAGTAGGAGGAAGCTGGAAACATGGACACACCCATGATGGACTGCCTCACAGCACAGCTGGGGCAAGCCCTGTTGCCCTGAGAATGAAGCACTGGCTCTCGGCAGGAAACCCTGCAGGGTAGCCCAAGGGGCCCGAGGAGGGGATGCGATGCAGGAGTGCTGGCTGCATCCAGGGGATCCCCTGATAACCAGCCTGCGAGGACAGAAGCTTGAGTACAGCCAGCACTTTGTAGACCCTGTGCCCAAGGTGCCATGACTGAAGACCAAGGAGATGAGGGCTCAGGGGGAGGCTCTGCCTTCAGGTTTAACCTCTTAGTGAGCTACTCTGACCCCTGTGGACAACTCTGGGAATTACCCTTCCAGCCTGGTAAAGCAGAGATTTATGTCTCGAGGGGACTGGCTGAATGTTCTGGGGAATGACTGCTGGGTCTGGCGGCGACCTTCAGGAATCTGTAACCCGCCAGAGTCTAGCAGACCACAGACCAGCAGACTTTCGGAGGTTGAGTTCTGCCCTCAGAAAGCTGGTTGGCTTCTTTAATGGCAGTCTGTGATTTAAGTGTCCTTGGGACGCTCAGCTATCCCCAAACCATCGTTTAGATCCACCTAGATCCACCCAGAACCATTCTGCCCCTGCCCCACCCCCTGCCCCTGCAGGAGTTAATTGACACAGTCAGCAGTAGAACACGGACAGTTCTGGAATACATCCATAACCACAGGAACAACTGCTGTTGTTGGGGCGTTTTGTTTTTTTCACTGACGGCGTATCCGTCCTTGGTTCAGCTGTCCAGGGCAGCAAAGAGTTATTCCTCCGGGACTGATGAGCTCATGGCTCTGCAGCACACTGCTGTGCAGAGGGCCCCACGGCCAGGCTTGGCTGGTACGTGACACCAGCAGTCACTCATTCTTCCACCCCAGATCCCCTTGCCCTCGTTCTGTCTCTCTACAGCAGCTCTGACTCTGGTCTGTAGCCTGGAAAACATGGACATAGTCTGAGCACTAAACTGAAAAAGACCTGAGGCCTCCTAAGTTCTATGTTCAGCTTCCCTGCCAAGAGTGACCTTGGGTGGGTCTCTTTTTCCCCATCTCAGTTTTTCCAACATCGCCCTTGGCCAACTACAGTGCTTCCTCATTTCACTCAAGGATGCTGTGTATTAGGAAGAAAGGTGTTCACTAAATGTAGAATACGTGGAAATTGCTCAAATTCTACCCATGCTTAGAGAACCTTATAAGTGAGCCTGGTTTTGAATAGAGGTCGAAATAAACCCACTCATGGGAAAGTCTGGCTGGAGTATGAATAGAATTCTAGTGAAGTTCCAGATGGTTTATTTTCAGATTTTGTTTTTTAAACCCTGTAAGATTTTATTAATCTTCATCCTTACCTAACTTCCTTGAGTTTCTCCCTGAAACAGTTGAGTTCACAGAACTGCCCTTCCTGGTGCATATCCTCCAGGATTACTGTCCCCCGGTCAGTCTTGCTTGCTTCCTCCAGGGACACAAGGACCCCAGGGTCCTCAGGGTATGACATCCCATGCCCTCACGTTGTAGATGGAGAAACCAAGGCCCAGAAAAGCTGCAGGTCTTATCTAAGAAAACAGATAACCTGATGCTGCTGGGGCCCTTCGCTGACCCTAGCTGTCTGAATGGGAATGCCAGAGCGCAGGGGGAGGAGGACTGGGGGGCTGCCGGGGAAGGCTGGGCCCGGAGCCAGGAAGGTGGGAGCGGGCCTGCTCTGAGCTGGCGGGTGGAGGCCAGGCTGCCTGCCTCCTCCCCACCCAGCCACCCGGGAGGGGCAGCCGCGGTGATGTCGAGGAGTTATTATTAGGAATACTGCAGTGCGGATGTGAGTGAGGAACAGGAGAGCAAGGAGAGATGGGCCTGGAGGAGGAGCCCGGGGAAAAGAGATGGAGGCAGGGAGGAGAGGACCAGACCCCAGGCCTGAGTGTGTGTCCTCGGTGTGTGTTAGGCCGCTTCCTAACCACCTTTCTGGGCGTTGAAGCTTCTCTCCCGGTGCAGTTCCTCTCCTTTTTCAGTCTGGAAGAAGTCCTTCCAGGATGGGGAAGAAGTGCTGGGCTGTTATGTCAGTGGGGCAGGAGGAGTCTGCTGGTGCAGCCAACATCAACCCTAAGCAGGGGTGTTGCCCCGCCACTGCCCTTCTGCCTCCATGATGCGGAGGGGGATGTGCTGGCTTGCTCCCAGCTCTGGGCAAGGGCTCTGCCTCGGCCAGGAGTGTTTTCTAGCCTACTCCTGGTCTTAGGCTCTGCCTTCTGCAGCTCTGGAGGTGGTTCTCATCCACCACTATAGCGGGGGACTTTTCTATGCTCCAGTTTCCCTCTTCCCCTGGGTGTGGGCGCCTAGTGATCCCAGCTTGTGCCCGGGCACCTCTGTGCACACCGAGGGCCTCCGGGTGGGCAGTCTCCAGAGCTCATGGGGGTGGACTTTGAGCGCCTCCTACCAGGCTCTTGGCCAACGCCATTGATGCCCTATGTGTCCCGCAGCTGCTTTTACAGGGTTAATGGTCCCACGGGAGGCAGGGCAGCTCTGTTCTGGTGCAGGCAGGAGAGCAGGAGCCCGGATCTGTGGACCGAAGGTGGGAGACTGGGCTGGGTGGTGCGGGCAGGAGGAGGGGTCGAGGCCGGCGGGATAGCCGGTCGGGCCGGGGGCTTGAGCGGGACGGGCCCTGCGAGGGCACAGCGCAGCCACAGTTGGGTGTGAAGCCAAAGTTTCCGGGAAGGCAGCTGGGCACTGGGCGCTGGCCAGGAGCCTGGAGCCACATGTCCCTCCTGTTGGGGAAGCTGACCCAGGGCCTGGCCTGAGCCAGATAGGTGGGAGGTGGGGGATGGAGGGGAGAGGGCCCCGCACCCAGATGCTAACCCTTCACTGTCTGCAGGTGGGAAGAGGAGTACACGGTGCGGTTACAGCTGCAGGAGCGCGTGAATGAGCTCCAGGAGGTGAGGGCCGCCCGCCTGCCCTCCCGACCATCCCTTGCCCGCTGCTCGCTGCCTGCCTGCCGCTCACCTTGGTTGGTTTCTCCTGACTGTAGGAAGCCCAGGAGGCTGACGCCTGCCAGGAGGAGCTGGCCATGAAGGTGGAACAGCTGAAGGCCGAGCTGGTGGTCTTCAAGGGGCTCATGAGCAATGTGAGTATGGCCAGGTCATCCCTTGCCTCTCATGCCACCCCCACACCAGCCTGGACTCAGCCCCAAGGCTGCCTGAGGCCCAGGAGCAGGCCTTTCTAGTTTCGCCCGTTCACCACCCGGCGGTCCCACTTTATGTGCTTCCATTTCCACCCCCTTGCCTGCCCCCTAACTCTAGAGAAGAGGAAGGAAAGTCCCGTTGGCCTCCAGGGGGACTCGGGCTTCTTTGCTCGCAGTGTGGGCCCTGGTGACATCCTGACCTGCTCTGCCTTGTCGCTGGGTCTGTGGAACGGGATAGGATTGAAAGCAAGTGCTTTGCAGGATGGTTCCAAGATCACAATGTTTGTAAAGTCAGGACAGCAGTGGCCGAGTGTCAGCTAACATTGTCCTTATGATTCTTTCTCCAACTCTCAGAGCTCTGGCTGTGTGCTTAGTCGCTCAGTTGTGTCTGACTCTTAATGACGCTATGGACGGTCGCCCGCCAGGCTCCTCTGTCCATGGGAATTCTCCAGGCCAGAATACTGGAGTGGGTTGCCATTTCCTTCTCCAGGGGATCTTCCCAACCCAGGGATCAAACCCAGGTCTCCCGCATTGCAGGCGGATTCTTTACCGTTTGAGCCACCAAGGACTAGCTTCTCTCTCTCTCTGGGAGTCTGAGTTCCAGGAGGAGCCCCCTGCATATGCACCAGGCACTGGCCCACGTCCTCCGGGGTGCCGTCTGGCCAAGGAGCCAGTCGTCCTGGGCAGACCGCTGGGAGGTACCCAGGTCAAGGGGTGCCTTCTGCCAGCAGGAGCCGTGTGACTGGGATGATGAGGGGACACTGCTCATGATGAGGTCGGCCCCCCTCACCGCTCCCTGCGCTCCCCACACAGAACCTGACTGAGCTGGACACGAAGATCCAGGAGAAGGCCATGAAGGTGGACATGGACATCTGCCGCCGCATCGACATCACTGCCAAGCTCTGCGACTTGGCTCAGCAGCGTAACTGCGAGGACATGATCAAGATGTTCCAGGTGAGGGTTGCGGGCGCCTTGCCCAGGCCCCCGGCGGCCCCACCTCGCTGGCGCCAGAGCCCCACAGGGGAGGCTGGAGCCGGGCCCTGGGGTCGAGGCTGGGGGGCGAGGGACAGCCTCTGGAGGGTCCGGAGCTGTCTCTAACGCCGTCTCCCCCTCCCCTCTCTCCTGTCTGCCTCCTCTCCTCTCTGCCTTTCATCTTTTCTTGCTTCCTCCACAGAAGAAGCTGGTTAGTTTTGCTCTCACACAAGCTTCTCAGCTCCCCGGGGCTCTCAGTGCAGTGCCCCCTCCATCCTCCTGCTCTCCCCACTTCTCTCTCCCCCTCCTCTCCCCTGCCCCCTCCCTCCCCTTCCTCTCCCCCTTCTCCCCTCCCCCCTTCCTCTCCCCCCACTCTCATTCTCTGGCTCCATCTCTCTTCCCCCGTCCCTCCCCCCTCCCCCACTTCTCTCATTCTCTGGTTCCATGTCTCCCCCTCCCTCCTCTCCCCCTCCTTCCCCTTCCTCCCTCTCCCCCCTTCTCTCATTCTCTGGTTCCATGTCTCCCCCTCCCTCCCCTCCCCCTCTCTCCCCTCCCCTCTTCCCCTCCCCCTCCCTCCCCCTCATCTCCTTCCCCCTCCCTCTCTTCCCCCCACTCCTGCTCTTATTCTCTGGCTCCATTTCTCTCCCCCTCCCTCCCTCTCTCCCCCCTCCCTCCCTTTCTCCCTCCCCCTCCCCTTTCCTCCCCCTCCCTTCCCCTCCCCTCCTCCTCCTCCCCTCTCCCCTCCCTCTCTCCCCACTTCTTTCACTCTCTGGCTCCATCTCTCTCCCTCCCTTCCCCCTCTGGCTTCCAGATCTGGATGTGACTCAGGTTCTGCTTTATCAACTTCATGCCCCCTTCCTCCTTGCGGCCTGAAACTTCCCTCTCAGTTCAGTCATCTCACTAGAAGACTTTTTTTAGAAAAGAACTCCTGGGGGCCATTACGCACGTCTCACTCTGGGCCCGGCCAGCCATTCCCCGATCTTACTGCTCCGTTTTCTCTGCCTTCTGTCTCCTCCTCGTCCGCAGCCCCGGCCCCACCCGCGTCTGTCTGCCTGTCTCGGTGATGCTGGTGTTTCTGTTCCGTGTCGTAACTGTGTCTTCTCTCTGTCCGCCCGCCCTTCCCGCTGGTCCTCGCTTCCCTCGCTCCCGGCCGGCGCCCCCCGCCCTTCTCCTCACGCACCCGGCCTCGTCTCTGTAGTCTCTGCACTTGTCTCCCATTAAGGTCCCGTCCATGGGGGGGCGGAAGCGGGAGCGCAAGGCCGCGGAGGAGGACACCTCCCTGGCGGAGAGTGACGGGCCGCGCCGCCCCGACGGGGACGAGGAGGAGAGCACGGCCCTCAGCATCAACGAGGAGATGCAGCGCATGCTGAACCAGCTGTGAGTCCGCCCGGCCGCCCCGCGCCTGCCCGAGGCCGGAGCCCCCGCAGCCCCCGCCCCGCCGGCAGCCCTGACGCCCGGGCTCCCTGTCTCTAGGAGGGAGTATGATTTTGAGGACGACTGTGACAGCCTGACTTGGGAGGAGACGGAGGAGACCCTGCTGCTCTGGGAGGATTTCTCGGGCTATGCCTTGGCCGCTGCAGAGGCCCCGGGAGAGGTAACCAACCTCCCGGCCTTGGGACCCGGCTCCTCCTCCCCAGGCGCCAGGCCCATCTTCCCACCCGCTGGCCCCCTCCAGCTCTGTCTTCCCTCTGTGGCCGCCGTCCGTCACCTGCTTCCCCCTCGTCCTCAGTCCTTGTCCCCAGTCCTCGTCCTCAGTCTCTCCAGCTTCCTTTAACCTCATTCTCTCTCTCTCTCTCTCCTTCCCTGGCCTTGCCCTGTGGCTCGTCCTGTCCCATCCATCCCTCCCCTCTGCTTCCCCCACCTTCCCTTTCCACTCCAGCAGCCAGAAGACAGTTTGGAGAAGGTGATTAAAGATACCGAGTCCCTCTTCAAAACCCGGGAGAAAGAATATCAGGAAACCATTGACCAGATTGAGGTAAGGCCATGAGCTGAAGCCAAGGTTCCCCTGTTCCCCCGGGGGGTCGTGAATGGTACTGCAGGACACCAGGGCCTCCCATCTCCTCCTGGCAGGAGAAGGACGATCTCCCTACTGGGGCCACTCTGGTGTGTCCCAAAGACCCCAGGCTGGGGAGGGGAGCGAGGCAGACAGATGTAGGTTCCAATCTCAGCTCTGTGACTTACTGCCACTCTGACTTTTAACAGGCCTCTTTTCTCTGAGCCTGCTTTTTTTTTTTGTTTTTTTTTTAACATCTATTTCTTCAGCCGTGTCAGGCCTTAGTTGCAGCACGTGGGATCTTTCATTGCGACCCATGGACCCTCTAGTTGTGGTGTGTGGGCTTAGTTGCCCTGCAGCACCTGGGACCTGAGTTCCCTGACCAGGGATCAAACCCGCGTCCCCTGCATTGCAAGGCAGATTCTTCAACACTGGACCAGCAGGGAAGTCCCGAGCCTGCTTCTTTGTAAAGTGGGGGTCTTAGCAGTACCTCCCTCAGGGTGGATTGAAGGTCAGGTGAACTACAGCGCAGGTAGAGTGTGGAGCATCTGTCTGGCAGTCAGCACTGTCGCAGCTGCTGTGATCACGGTTGTTAACTACAGTCAGTGCTTCAGGGTCCATGCCACTGGACTTGACCTTTGCTGCAGCCTCAGCTCAGCCTTAGAGGAGTCTCCATGCTCATTCCCTCTCCTGGAGGAACTTTCCCGAGCTGGCGAGAGGAGCCGGTGCTTTAATGTAAACTCTAGGCACTGGAGGGGCCGACAGGAAGGATTTGTGACACCTGGGATGAGGGTGCTTCGGCCAAGGCGCCACGTATTTCCTGTGACCCCCACGGCCTGAGCCTGAGGGGGTCCTTCCCATGCACTGTGACCTGGAGACGAGGCTTTGGCTTCTAGACCTCTCTGCCTCTCTCCAGGCCCACTGCCCTCCCTCACTGCGACAGTGGCCGCTGAGGAATTATCTTCCTCCTGTATCCTCATTCTCCCAGCACACAGCAGCTGCCCTGCTCCTTTAAGCAAAACCTCCCACTGTTTACTCCCAGGCAGACTGACACTCAGTTTTAAAGGCACAGCAGGGGGGACCTCTCTGGTGGTCATGTGGTAAGACTTCATGCTCCCTCTCTAGGGGGCATAGGTTCGATCCCTGGTCAGGGAACTAAGATCCCACGTGCTGCACAGCCAAGAAGAAGGAAAAAAAAGAAAAAGTACAGCTGGATATGTGCCGCCAGCCAAAGAGCTGGGAGGGGGCCTCCACTCCTCGACACGCATCGACACACATCCTGCTCTCCCCCTCCTCACTATACTTAGGAGGTCCTGAGGGGTCGGGAGGCTGTTGCTGGCGTTTTTTTATGGTGTTGCTCCTGGCCGTCCACCTGGGGCTCCAGAGGTCCTTTATCTCAGTGACCTTGGGTCTACAGGGGCCCTGGGATGGAGGCAGGGACCACTTCCATGACTGGATGGTGAGAGAGACCCAGGCCCAGGTCTCTGCTCTCGATCTGCTCCCAGCCTCACTCCTCCGCCCTGCCCCACCGCACACGTGCGGGCTTTTCAATGTGGCCTTTGGGGTCATCCCCTTCCCGCAGCCCTGCTATAAATGTAGAGGCTGGGGGCCGTCCTAGCCTCGTGTTCTGCTGGGACGTGTTGGGTTCATTTCTTCCCGCTGCTCCACTGAGTGCTGGGCTCCCGAGCGCAGCCCCCAGCTCTCACCTCTAACACCAGCTCTCCCGAGGGGCCGGGGTTGGGGTGAAGGAGGCAGCCAGTCTGGACAAGCACTGGCGGCACTGTACTTCCTTCCTGGACTGAACGAGCGGTCAGCGCATCCTGCCCCAGCACGTGCTGCCGGGGGTGCCGCCTGGGACCCCAGCTTTGGAACCAGGGCCGTGGTCCAAGTTGTGCTCACTGGGGCTTCTGACCCACCCAGACCACCGTCTTGCCCCATGTCACTGTCCTGACCATCTGTGACTGTTTCCTTTCCTGTCTGAGCTCCCATCCTTGCAGCCCAGTTCAGATCATTCACGGGTGGTTTCTTTTCCTTTCTCTTTGCTCTCGGGTAGTCAAGCACATCACCCTGGGCAGTTTTATTCTGCCCCCACCCGCTTCTGGCCCCTGTTCTTTGTCCCCAGAACAAAGGGAGGCAGCAAGAGTGTCTGGGTCCCAGATTTTTCACAGCCTCCATGCCTGCCTCTCAGCTCCACCGCGGAGCCTGCGGGCAGAGTCGGGCTCTGGGAAGGAGACTGTGTTTCCTTGACTCTGAGCCCGGTCTTCACGTAACAGTCCTTGACTCGGGCCGCAGCTTGTAGCCAGTCAGACATTCAGCGAGGCAGGCAGTCCTTTCAATCGTCTCTGAAAAGGGTTTACATGTGAGCGAAGTAATGAGAGGAAATCGGTGGTGAGAGCGGAGCCCCTTTCCACGGGGCCCAACCGGCCCATGTGCCAGCAGTCTTGTAGACGCTTCTCGAAGTTGAGTAACGGCTCAACTTGAGGGTACACGCAGGGATGGGTAGGCCCCAGCTTGGAGCGGGGCCTGTCTGGGGGGGACAGCGCTGTATGGGCCAGAAGAGGCCCCGTGGGGAACCCCAGGAGGAGGCCGAGCGCCTCAGGAACATCCTGCCTCTCTAGAGCCTCTGCCCTCTCCTCACTGCTCTTGCCGCGAGTCTCTTCAGAGAACGCGGGCCACCTACACCAGACTCCTTAGCAAAAGCCTTTTGTGGGTGAGCTTCCCCAGGGAACATGGCAGGAACGTTGGCATATCAAGTGCCTTCCGCCTCAAGCTGGTTTAGTTTTGAATCTGAGCCCTTCACCTCCTTCACGGCGTGGCGGGTTGGCCTCCTGGGAGCGCGGGCGGGGGGGGCTGCTGACCTGACGGCCCGCCCCCCGCAGCTGGAGCTGGCCACGGCCAAGAATGACATGAACCGCCACCTGCACGAATACATGGAGATGTGCAGCATGAAGCGGGGCCTGGACGTGCAGATGGAGACCTGCCGCCGGCTCATCACCCAGTCCGGGGACCGGTGAGGGCCCCCTGGGTGCGGGGGGCGGGGCAGTGCCTGGCGCCCCTCGAGGATGGGCCCCAAGACCCCCCTCAGCAGATGGGGGACACAGGAACCCATCGTGGCTGCCTGGCTGAAACCTCCCCACGCACTGCCTCTGGCGGTTCCCCTGCTTAGAGAGGCAGCTGAAAACCCGACAGTCACAAAACTGCTCCGTATACCCGAAACTGGGGCTGCAGAGCCTCTGGGGGTCCCCAGGTTGAAGTGGGGACTGTCCCCCCCTCATGGTGGACTGAGGGAGGCGGTGTCCCCCCTTCCACACTCCCTCACACTGTGGTCCTCCTCTGCCTGAGACATTACTCTCCTATCCGCCCGGGCATCATCAGGCTGGGATGGGCAGGGCTGCCAGCCCTGTCGGGACTCCTGCCTGCCCTGCCCCGAGGTTACAACCAGTGTTTTTTTCTAGAAAGTCTCCTGCTTTCACTGCGGTCCCGCTTAGCGAGCCGCCGCCACCGCCGCCAAGCGAGGCTGAGGACTCCGATCGTGATGTCTCCTCCGAAGGCGCCATGAGATAGGGACCTCCTTGTGCTCAGCCCGCCCGCCGGGACCCGCCGCAGCAGAGCGCCGGGGGCTCACAGAAGGGGAGCCCGTGTCCTGCGGCACCAGCCTGGCCCCGGGGACTGGGCGCTGCTCCCTGGCTTCCTCCCTCGGTCCTCGGCCCCTCCAGGGCTCTGGGGCATCTGGAGTGAGGCTTGGTTGCCTTTCCCGGGCCACTCCCCGCAGAGCCGGCCCTCCTGCCTCCATGCGGCTGTCTGCTGCTTTCCCACCTCTAATGCTGCCAGAGCACTCGTGGCCCCTCACCCTCTCCACCGAGGAAACAGTGTGATTGTCCTTCCTTCCTTCCCTGTGGCCTGGGGCCAGCTGGCCGTCTTGACTCCATACTGGTGCTAACTGGCCCGGGCACAGGTGTGAAGGGGAGGAGGCCAGACCTTCCATGGCTTGTGCGGCAGAGGAGGAAGCCCTCCGTGTCGCAGGCAAGACTGAGTGGGACTGGGCAGGGTGCACCTTTCCCCCTGTTGTCCAAGTGCTCACAGCCCGCTGCCCGTCAACAGCAGTGATGTGGCTCTTCCCCTTCCCTTGTGGGAAGTGCCACACCTTATAAGGACCTTAGTGCCTCTGGGCAAGGCAGCTTTTGGGCTGACTGGGTGCAGTGTTGTGGAGAGAAAGAGACAGAAGCTCCTGTTTGTCTCCGTCACCATCTGGTGGCAGAAAAGTTGAAACTGCGTGTGTGGGAGCGGGTGGACGTGCATGGATGTGTGTGTGCACACGTGTGCTCAGGGTCTTGGTTTCTTCAAGCATCAGCTGCAGGTGTCCTTTATGTCTCACACATGGAAACCCAAAAGGCTGAATAAGACGTCCCAGACTCAGAAAAGCTTGGAGAACTGGGGCGACAAGGTGTCCCTCCGCATCACTGCCTGAGGCAGACTGGGCGGAGCTGTTTGAGTGGAATCTAATACTAATGAAACTGGCGAGTATTTATTGAACCTGTCTTTGTCACTGTTTCCAGCACTTTCTGGTGGTGGCTACACAGTCCTTTCTGCAGTGTGTGCTAGTTCCCATCATTTCCCAACACGCATGTGCAAGGCAGATGCAGAGATTGGAACTCCAAAGTAATGGCCTCAGCCCAGGTTATCAGCACCAAGTCTGTGCTGCTTCCCAGTAAGACCACGTGCATCCACCAGTGAGTGACAGATGAGCCGAAAGTAAAGCCATCCCAGCCCTCCCCCTCTGCACACCCTAGGAGCTGGGCACCTGCAGGGTCATACGGCAGGTGGTCACTAGGGCACAGACACTGAGGCAGAGCTGGGACCTGGTTCTCTCAGGCTGGCTATGCTCCACATTGTTGCAGAGGTCAGCTAACTGGCTGGAAGCCAGGTGGACTCTGCCCAACCTGACTTCCTGTGCCAGTATCACCCCCCCGGGGGGGGGGGCGGGACTGCAGACAGAATGGCTTCTGGATACACACTGCCAGGCCATTCCTGGGTTCAGAGCACCCAAAGGCCTCAGGGAGGAACCCAGGACATGAGGCGTGTCTGCTGGAGCAGGGTGGGGTTTCTGGCAGATTGGGTGCTCAACTAGTTCAACTTGACCCCAGCCCAGCCTCCCTCTCAGCAAGACAAGAAACAGCAGCCTGGGTATAGGGTACTTTTATTGATGGTACACGACAAGGCAGGGCTCCCTAAGTCCCTCCCCTTCCTCAGAGCCTTGGGGATCGAAACTGTGGAGGTCGGGAGATTCTCAGTGTGGTGGAGGATCAAGGTGGGGCAAGGACTCCCCAGCAGCTGAGGAACTCTCTTCCTCTCGTGCTCCTGCTGGGGCTGGGGGCTCAGGGACCTTACTCCTTGGAGGCCATGTGGACCATGAGGTCCACCACTCTGTTGCTGTAGCCGAATTCATTGTCGTACCTGCAAGGAGAGTGAAGAACTGTTTGCCAAGCCAGCCACCAGGGGGCACCAGACAGCTCACATGCCGAAGCAGCATCCTGCCCCCACCCCTACATACCAGGAAATGAGCTTGACAAAGTGGTCGTTGAGGGCAATGCCAGCTCCAGCATCGAAGGTAGAAGAGTGAGTGTCGCTGTTGAAGTCGCAGGAGACAACCTGGGGGAGGAGAGGGCCACATGTGGAACCCCGCCTGGCTCATGGAGGCTATGCAGACACACCAGTCCCCTGACCTGGTCCTGATCATACCTGGTCCTCAGTGTAGCCTAGAATGCCCTTCAGAGGGCCCTCTGACGCCTGCTTCACCACCTTCTTGATCTCATCATACTTGGCCTGACAAGGTAAAATATGGATGGTCACAAGAGTTCCAGTCTTGCAACTCCCGCCCACTGGCCCTGCAGGCCACTGAAGCTGCTCCAACCCAAACGTACAGGTTTCTCCAGGCGGCAGGTCAGATCCACAACAGACACGTTAGGGGTGGGCACGCGGAAGGCCATGCCAGTGAGCTTCCTGTGGACACAAGGAAGCAGGGTCAGTCTGCATTGCTCCTCCCGGCTCCCCGGGTCCACATGGCAGAAAACAGCCAAGGGTCTCACCCGTTGAGCTCAGGGATGACCTTGCCCACAGCCTTGGCAGCGCCAGTAGAAGCAGGGATGATGTTCTGGGCAGCCCCTCGGCCATCACGCCACAGCTTCCCAGAGGGGCCATCCACGGTCTTCTGGGTGGCAGTGATGGCGTGGACGGTGGTCTGCGGAACAAGGAGGGGAGTGAAGGCCCTGCCTGGTGCTTGCCAGGCCACCCCTGCGCCACCTCCTCCCCTGGGGAAGAGCTAAGGGACACAGATCTGCTCTCTGGGAGGCAGAAGGGTCCTGTCCTTCCTGAGAACTGGGCATGTTCAAGTTCCCCACCACTCCTACCATGAGTCCCTCCACAATGCCGAAGTGGTCATGAATGACCTTGGCCAGGGGGGCCAAGCAGTTGGTGGTGCAGGAGGCATTGCTGGAAAAGAGGGAGGCAAGTCAGGGGCACGTCCACTGGGCACCAGGAGGCACCATTGGCCTGCTTCCCCACCTCCTCTCCGCTGCGCTCACCTGACAATCTTGAGGGTGTTGTTATACTTCTCGTGGTTCACGCCCATCACAAACATGGGGGCATCGGCAGAAGGCGCAGAGATGATGACCCTCTTGGCACCACCCTTCAAGTGAGCCTGCAGCCAAGGAGCAAGTAATCGCACCTGGGCTCTCGCTTTCCTAAGTCCGCTCCCCCCATCCTCCTGTTACACCCTCCTCTCCAGTCCCTCGCTGCTCACCCCAGCCTTCTCCATGGTAGTGAAGACCCCAGTGGACTCCACCACGTACTCAGCACCAGCATCGCCCCACTTGATGTTGGCGGGATCTCGCCTGTGAGAGAAGACAGGACAAAGCTCAGGGACACGGCACCACAGACCCCAGGTAAGCAGCCCATCCCAGCGCCTCCTCCAAGGCCAAGTTCTTCCTATTCTGTCTCCCACACTTACTCCTGGAAGATGGTGATGGCCTTTCCATTGATGACGAGCTTCCCGTTCTCCGCCTTGACTGTGCCGTGGAACTTGCCGTGGGTGGAATCATACTGGAACATGTAGACCTGGGGGGGCACGAAGGAGGGGGGCATCAAGGGGCTGCACCTCAGCCAGGCTCTGACCCCACCCGCTGTGGGGCAGCACTCACCATGTAGTGAAGGTCAATGAAGGGGTCATTGATGGCGACGATGTCCACTTTGCCAGAATTAAAAGCAGCCCTGGTGACCAGGCGCCCGATGCGGCCGAATCTGAGGAGGACAAGAGACGAGAAGGGGTGAGGGGGAAGGGACTCCTCCTTGGCATGGAAGCAGCCCCTGGCCCACTCACCCTCTTTCAGAGAAGAGGACACTCTGCTACCCCCACAAAGTCTCGTGAGAACTCACTTTATTTTTCTTGAGCAACCCTGCCAGCCCACAGAGTGAAGGCTCACAGGTAATCAGGCACAAAGGCTTGCCCACCCCGTAGTCATTAGCAATCTGTTGAGCTGATGGGGTGGTGCGCAGCTGCTGCCACCTACAGGCCAGGCACATGGCAGGCACATGGCATTCATTACACCTACTCTCTGCAAATGCTTGCTCCTGTCTGGCCCAGCTTTGGGCTACACCCTCTGAACTGCAAACACTAGTCCACTCAGCATCACCAAGCTCAAAGGGCAAGAGCAAATGTCAGCATGAACTGGATGGGGAAACCTACCCTCTCCCCCACAAAAGGGGAGAGAGAGAAGACTGGTTTCTCAACCCCTCATCCCAGGGTTCTGACTTGCTCAGCACCTGTCCTTCCAAGCTCTTTTCCAAAAATCAGGATTGGGAGCAACAGATATTAGGGAGTAGGGGAAAAAGGTTGGGGGGCGGAGGGCAAGAGCCCAGGCCCCCAGCTGCAGAAAGGTCAGGCAGCTATATTTAACCCCAGCTTAGGTGGAGCGGGGATCTGGTTTCTGGAAGATGGGATGGGGAGAAGGGCAGGATTCCCGGGGCTCACAGACACTTAATCCTCCTGGTGACCTTTACAGCCTGGCCTTTAGGGTGGGGTCAGCTCCAGGCAAAGATGGGGGAAAGGAGCTTCGAGGAGAGCCGGCCTGACCACAGGGGCTGCTGCTCCGGGAGCCATTTTGTGGTGGAAAATTTCTAAGTACCCATGACTCAGCTCCCCCAAGCATGGCACCCAGCCAGGGCCACCACACCTCTCCGGAAAAGGAAAGGAGAAACACCCCCAAACTACAAGACCACTCCTACGAGCCCACGTTTTGAATTCATAAGAGAACCATCTAGGAAAAGCATCCTCTCATCCCTGGGGGTGGAGGGGGGTCCGCGGAATCTGGCTGGCTGTTTAAGTGATGGTCTGCGCTTACTAGGGTCAGAGTTGAGGTCTAGTTGCAAGAACAGGAAAGCATGGCCTCACCTGGCCTAAGGGCTGAACATGACTCCATCCCACGAGGCAGGGGTAGGAGCGTTAGTCATGGGCAAGGAAGGCGAAAAGACGGCAGGGCTAAGGAAGGTTTCCTAACGGGCAGTTCATTCATTTCCTTCCTAGCAAGTTGCAACATGGCGGCTGGGTTACCGCAGATGACCCCTCCCAGCTGATTCTATGCGCAGCTGTGTCTCCTGCACCCCCGGGGCCGCTCCTGCTGGGGGCACGGGCTGGGGCGGGGGCGGGTGTCGGGCTCCTCCCCGGCACGTGACCCCGCAGGGCGCGAAAGGAAAGAAAAGAGCCTCAGCTGCGGGATTAGGGGATGCGGCCCAAGCAAGAATTGGAATCTCCTGTGTATCTGCCGCAAGGTGGTGGAAGGTTCCGCAGGGGCGGAGTTACAGGAGGCGCAAGAGCTGGAGATGGGGGGCACAGGAGGCCTTCGAGGGTCTCCTCCAGGTCTGAGCGCTGACCTTGAGTTCTCCTTGCGGGGGCGGTGGGTACGACCACCCCATCCAGGTTCCCCCTGCGCTTGCAGAGTCCCACTAGCGCGAGACCTACCGACGCAATGCGGTGAGGACCGCAAGACTGCCTTGCCCCACCCCACTCCACCTCTGCCCGTAACTCACCCGTTCACTCCGACCTTCACCATCTTGTCTCAGAAATGCGGCTGTGGGTAGAGGAACGTGAGCATTAGAGCGCGGGGCCAAGAGGATGGAATCCCGCGCTGACCACCTCCCCCCACCAGCCCCTCCCCTCCCCCCAGGCCTCCATCCCCGACCTGCGCTTCCGCACGTCCTTCCCAGACCCTGCAATGCGTGGAGCCCGGCTGGGCGCGATCTGTCCACCCCAGCCCCCGCAGCCGCACACCCGGCGCGCTAACGCCCCCTCGTCCCTTTTGGGTGGGCCTATCCCCCAGCCCTTTGTGGCTCCTCTCGACCTGGCTTTTACCTGGCACAGCACGAAAGCTACGGCTATCTGTCGAACGGGCAGGAGCAGAGAGCGCAGGGGGAGGCTACAGCCTGAATTTATAGGAGACGGGGGGCGGGGAGGGGGCGTGGCGACGAGGGCCCGCCTCGCCCAGTCCCAGCCCCCGGGATGCGGAGGCCTGAGCTACGTGCTCCCGTAAACTCGCGAGTAGTCGGCCTCCCACTTTTTTTTTGGGTCCGCCAGGTTCTTGAAATGTGCACGCACCGCGCGTGTGGGCTAAGGACGGCGTGGGGGAGGGGACTGAGATTGGCCCGAAGGAGGAGGGGGACCGATGATGGTGACTGGTGGGGAGGGGGGAGCACTGCGGGAGACTAGTAAACTCGGGACCGGAGGCCCTGGTGAGAAATGAGGACACCCGGGAGCCAGGGACGTTAAAACTGCCTCAAGGATATAACGGGAGGACCTGGGGAGTCGGCTGGATGGGGAATTGGAGCCGGAGGCAGGAACAGCTCGCGGCTGCAGGCTCCCCCTTTCCCGCCCCCGCTTCCCCTGCTTTCAAAGGCTGAGAAGCCGGAAGGCTGAGGAACTTCTCGAGGCTCTTCGGTAGTGACACACGCAGCCCGCTACTTCCCCGCTCCCCCACTTTCCCCACCCCCATAACTTGGCCTCGGGCCTCTCTAGGGCCGGGGGCCGATTTGGGCACTGGGCTGTGGGGGCCTGGAGCGGAAGGAGGTTCCGGAGGACGCCTGAGGCGGGGAGGTTTCTGCACTGAAGGTCACGGTGTCCTGCAGTGCGGGCCGCAGGAGACCTGAGAAACCGGGCCCTGGGGGCTCCAGCTGCTCTTCCCCAGGCTCGGGCGGGGGCCCCAGGGGCGGGACAGCATCTCTGTTGGGGGCTGGGCGGGTAGAGGCCAGAGGCCTCCCACAAAGGCGCTCCTGAGGGCTGTGCGGCCTGGGCTGGGAGACAATGCCCCTTTTACCCTGTCCAGCTCGGTCCAGCCCCCGGGCTGAGAGCTGGACGTGAGGGCGGAAGTCCCTCCCCATCCCGGGACATGCAGGCCAGCCCTGGAGACAGGGCCTCCCTTTCCCGTGCCTGCGTCCGGGAGATGTTGGGGGCAGGGTAAGGAGTCCAGAATAGTGGAAAAAAAATCAGGCGTCTTGGGCACTTGGTGGGACCAGGCCCCCGACTCCTCTCCACAGGTGATGTGGAAGAAGGAATCCATTCCTCTTCAAGCCCAGTCAGTCAGAAGCCAGGGACTGTGCTGGGGCTGTGAACTGAGGATGTTAGAAGGGCTGGATCTGAGGACTCAAGGGTTGAGGGTTTGTAGGGGAGCGGGGTGGAGTGGGGTAGAATGGACATTGCCCATCAGCAGGTGCTGGGGGACAGAATTGGGGCCTCTTTGCTGGCCCAGCGTAACATGAGACCAGCCCCCTTCTCCAGCTGAAAAGCCTGTGGCTAAGTTTAGCCCGGCTGGTGATAACCTTTGCTTAAAAGGCAGAGAGCACGCGGTCCTGCACCCCGACTCCAGCGGTCCCTTCCCTTTCTGGGACTGTCCTCCTCCAATGTTTGCTGTGGCGGGCGGCCATCTGCATGGTCCACGCCCCGGGCTTTGCAAGAGCAGGGCCAGTGGGCACCTAATGGTGAGGGGAGGTGCCACACTGGAGTCTGCTGGGAAGTGGATGGGGCTTCCTCCCCAGGTGCCCCCAAGGACACAGTACTTTGCCTGAAGAGGGCCTTAGGAGGATCCCCCACCCCCCACCCCCGCCCTCCCACACTGCCTGCAGCATGTTCCCCTTTGCCGCATGCCTGTCCTTTTTCATTACTGTCCTTTGCTGAAAAGAGGGAGTTCAGTGCCCAGGGACCATGGACTGACGCAGTCTACTGTTGTCATGACAGCAGAAGACACCAGTGTAGTCATGGCAGCAGCCACACTGCCTGCGGTTCAGGTGACTCAGCAGAGAGGACCTGGGGAGTAGGAGGGGGTGGACAGGGCCTCTATCTAGGGGCTGACTTCCTGCAGACCCTGTAACATTGTGAGGAACCCCTGGGGAGCCGTCTCCAGAGACACTGTCTAGAGCTGGAGGGAATCATGACCTGGTCTCCCATCAGCCTGGCCAGCTCAGTCACCTGTCTTTAGAGATGGGTGAGGGGCACGAGTGGGGGTGGGGGGAGGACAAAGTGAGCCGTTGGTCAGAGAAGGGTTTCTCAACCCCAGCTTCACTGGCTGACACACCCTTTTTGTGGTGGGACCTGTCCTGTGCATTGTCAGATATTTAGCAACATCCCTGGCCTCTCTCTGCCCACTGGCTGCTGGTGGCACCCCTCTCTGCTAGCTTGTGACAAAGAAATAGTCTCTAGAGGTTGCCAGTTGTCTCCCAGAGGGTAAAGTTGCCCCCAGATTGAGAAGTGCAGCTCTGGAGTCTAGGCGCTGCCTAACTCTACACAGGGGAGTGTCCTGCCACGTGCAGGGGGGAGGCAGGGAGGGAGAGGTGAGGCACTGAGGGGCTGGACACACATCAGACCCCTGGGCTCAGCGTCTCCCTCTGGATCAATAACCCTCTGCTGCTGCCTGCCTCCAGGCTAGCAAGAAAGACGAGACAAAGACAAGCTTAGGAAAAACCTCTAAAACTATATAAAAATATTTATTCATTAGAAAACAAGAAAACTGACAAACATGTATATATATACATTCCAAGGAAAGCAACTCAACTCGGTTCAGCTGGGCTAGTTTAAGAGCAAAGCCTTAGGTTATAATGACTACTTATGCATTAAAAAACCAAGGAGACAGGCAAACAAGTATTTTACAAAGAGAATGAATTCAGGGACTCTTTATAAGACACCTGCACAGCAGGGTTGGGATAGGCAAGGCTGCCCTTAGGACCTGTGCCTGTGAGCAGATGCCCGGCGGATGGGGGTGGTTTTCTTGGGTGTCTCATCTTCTATCATCTCTGCTGACAGTTCTTTACAAAGAATTGGGGGAATAAGAAAAAGCTGAGTCACAAAGATGGTGAAAAATAGGTCTCAGAGAACAAATGGGACAATCCTAGACCACACTGCACTGGAAGATGATCTTGGGGTGGGGCCTACACAGCAGGACCCCATCAAAAGTCAGCCTGACCCCCACCCCTACCCCAGCACCCCCACTGGCCCCTGCCCCACTCCTCCTGGGCTGGGTCTGGAAGGGAGCACCGCACCTTCGTCGCTGGATTCATCACTCGAGAAGACAATCCTGAGTTTCTTTCTTGAAGCTCGCTGCTGGGTGTTTGGCTGCTGGCGGGCAGTACGGCGGGGCTTCGGTGTGACAAAGTTGTCTGATACTGTGGAAGCCACATGCCGGTGTCGAGCGGCTACCAGAGGCAGAGGTGTGAGTCCAAAAGAGAAAAAGGAACCTCTATCTGAAAGGGCCCCGTCCAGACTCTCCCAAAGGGTGGCCCCACGTACCAGCTGGCTGTTTTCTGGCTGACGGGGCTCTTTGGCTACTGCCTTGGCCAACCTCAAGTTCCTCTACTGCGTCCAACCCTCTGGTGTGACAAGCCCGAAGCTTCTGCTCAAATTCATCTATTACAGCCTGGAGGGAAAAACAGATCAGGAGCAGGCCTGGAAATTGTTATTTCTCTGAGTAAAAAGAAACAAGCCCATGAATAGAGAGAGAGGAATCTTAAATGTGGATCTGAAGGAAAGAACCCAGATGAGAAGCACACACACTCCATGGTTCCAACAACATGACATCCTGCGAAGCTGCCGTGACAGTAAAAGGATCAGTGGTGGCAGGGCTGGGGGTGGGGGTGGAGCGGGGAGCAGGAGACGCTCAGGGCGGGGCATCGACTGTGAAGCACACACAGTGGTGGGCACAGTCACGATACATTTATCAGCACACACATCACCAGGAGTGAACCCTCCTGGAAATTACGCTCTCTGGGCAATGAGGATGTGTCAAGGCAGGTTCACAAATGTCCCGCGCAGCCTGTGGTGGGGGATGTGGGTAACTGCGGTTACCCACATAATGTGGAATCCTATACTTTAATTTTGCTTTGAACCTGAAATGGCCCTTAAGAAAGTCTCCTGAAGAAAAGAAAAAAAGAAAGAATAGAATTGGAGACAGAAAGATTGGGTCTCAGGTCACCCGGTTACTTGGTTGCAATCAGCTGGGGATTAAGTCAGAAACCCGGAGCCTCAGAACACCCGTGTGAGCTGCGGCCCGAATGCAGCAGGTGCTGCACACCTTGCCCTCAGGCTTGGCCCCACGCCGTAACTTGCCCACGATGGACAAAAAGGCACTGAAGATGGACTCGTCTGACAGTTTATCGCCAAAGCAGTCAAAATTGTCAAGCATCTTGTGGAGACCCCGCTCCGTGAGGGGCAGCTGAGACATGCAGTAGGCCAGGTCCCGGTACTGCCGCTCAGTCCTGTGGGCAGGGAAGGTGTGGTGAGGCTCAGCAGGACCCCCGAGAGAAGGGTCTCCCCCAGCCCTGTGGAGGCCCTGAGAACCCTCCAGGAAGGCAGCATACTGGGCTGTGCGGAAGCGCTGACACAGCTTCTCCACCAGGCTCTCGGTCTGCTTATCCTTTGTGATGTAGGAGAGCAACTGCCTGCAGAGGGGAAATGGATGGACCACCTTGGGGGCGGCCCCGAGCCCACTGCTGACACCCGGCCAGGCCCTCCCCAGCTCCTGCCTTCTGCTGCCATCCTGCCTCAGCAGCAGACTCTCCTCTGTCCTGGCCTGTGCCCTGACCTGTCCCTCCTGCCTGCTCCCTCACCTCAGGGAAGGGTCCACCCCACCCTCCTGAGGAATTTACAGTGTGACTGGAAACTTAGAACAAAGCAGCAGCCATCCAGCGAGTCCTGTTTACGTGCTTATCGCCATGTTAGGACTTTTATCTTACTGAATCTTCTCAAGAACTAAGGCACAAGTATTTGGGGGCCTCATTTTACACAGGAGGAAAGTACAGAGGCGGGTTGGAGCTGAAGTCCACATGGCTCAGAGCATCAGACTGGACATCAAGAACAGGTCTGTGTGATTCCTAAGCCTGCTCTACAACGGAACAAATGTCCCAAGGCCCAGGGACTCTACTTCATGATGGTGTGGAAAGGCTCTTCCTCCACTCCTCCCTCGGAGGCTGACAGGCGGCTGATGATATCTGGAAGGAGGTTATAGATGGCATTCGCCTGTAAGAGAGAGAGTCACGTCACAGAGACCAGCACACGACTGCCCGGTCCCTCGGCAGCAAGCCCTAAGCCACCCCACCTCTTACTTTGTTGGAGAGCTCGTTGAAGAAGTTCTTGGCCAGGGCAGCGATCTGAGGGGCGGGGTCGATGAGCAGCACGGCCATCTCACTCACCTGCCCCTTCACCTTCACCATGTCCTTCAGGATCAGGTGGGTCATCACCAGCGCAGCTGTTTTCCGCACGTGCTGAGAGGGGTCCCTGAGGCTAGGGATGAAATCTCACAGCATTAGGATGTGGGCGTACCCAATGGTGGCAGGGAGGCCCTCAGTAGGAAGCGGGGCCTCTCTTGACAGTGCCTTTCTACAGGCAGGTAGAGGCTGTCTAGAGTGGAGTTTGGGGAAGGAGGCCAAGCCTGGTGCCAAGGCTTCAGATGAGAGGCATCAACCCTTTTGGGTCACACCCAGCCAGGGTATGCCCAGATGTGGGAGGGAGCCCTAAGACCGGGGGGGACACAGTTCTGGGGATTCCCACACCGACTTCCCATGAACTCCAGGGCTGGTGGGGACTGTGACGGCGCTGGGAGGGGTCTCTCACCGAGCATACAGATGGGGTGTCCAGGGGTCCACCAGGTTGGGGAAGCGGATGGCCAGATCCCCAGTAGCAATCATGAGGTTAGAGCGAACGATGGGGAGCGATGACTTTTCTAACATGGTGAACAGAAGACGAAGCTGGGAGTCACAGAAAGTGGCACTAGAGGCAAAGAGAGGATCGTCAGGGAAACCGCACCAGCCCCCACCCTCCTCAGGAAGGCAAGCTCCACCCTGGGGCCCACCTGATCATGCAGAACTTGCCCAAGGCGAGTGAAGCGGCTGTGGAGAGCTCCGGGTTGCTATAGAGACCAGGGTTGTTGCAGACTTTAAGCAAAAGTGGAACAAAGGCAGCCAGTGTCTGTTTGCCTGGTGAAGGAACAAGTCAAGGTGTGGGACGGGCTACCTGGCTAGAGAAAGGCTCACCCAGCAGCCCTTCTCACCTTCCAGCAGCTCCAGCTCACAGATGCCACGGATGAGTTCTGCCTCGGTGTCATCAGCTGTGGCCCCACCCAGCCCCATCTCCTCCTCCAAGGTGGACTCAGAGTTTGAATTCTGATGGGAAAGCAGCCAGGGATCATGGGTGAGCAGACAGTTTTGATTCCAGCCTATCCATCATTTCGCATGTATGGATCTGGGGAAGGGCAAATTCTGCAAGCTGTTCACAGGCTTGTCACGTGTATCTGAAGAGGAAGGACTCGTGAATCAAACAGGAAAAATACTAGGTCCCCTCCATTTGTGTCTAAAGTGGCCAGAGCATCCCACATCTCTTCCGATTCATCCTCATAGCAGCATATAACTTCCTGGACAAAATAAACCGATGGAACCTGCCAGACAACTGCTCAAGGTCACAGAGAAGGTCAGACTTTACCCCAGTGCTGCAAGGCTGTATCTCATTTGTCTGCCAGACATCACTGCCTCTAGTGCAGAGAACACAAGGTCCCATCAAGGGCCAGGCCCAGTCTCCAAGGCTGCCAGCAAGGCAGTGGGAGCAGCACGTTCTAGCAAACACTGCCTCGGCCACAGCCTTGATTTTTTGCGGAGGTCCCTACCTCGATGCTCTGGATTTACCTAAAATGCTTCGTGGGTGATCTATCTATGCTCTCACTAATTGTTTTCAGGGTATGAGGAGCAAGGAGGCAGAGCCTCCATGAGCTCAACGAACAGGAGAGAAGCAGAGCTTCTGAAGGAAACAGAAGAAAGCATGAAGGACCTGAGGGCTGGAAGCGAGTCTGGGAAACACCTGGGGCAGGAACCCAAAAGCGCAGGCGTGCGGCTCACCTTCTCCTTGGGCTCCTTCCTCTTGTGCTCCTGTTCTTCCCGCAGGACTCGGCGCCGACAGAGCTCTCCGCTCACGGCCTGCTCCAGGTGCACCAGCTGCTGCAGAGCCACATCCCCAGCCAGGGACAGCAGGTTCATCAACAGGAAAGTGGGGAGCACGGGGGTCTCCTCTGCAGGACGGGGGCAGGAAAGCAGGGAGAGAAAGGCCATCAAGTCTCACAGGCCCCTGTCCTGTTTTCACTGATGGGCCCCTGGCTCATGTGCTCTACACCCAGGGAAGGAGCACGAGGGCTTCCCTGGTGGAGAACGGTAAACAATCCGCCTGCCAATGCAGCAGACACGGGTTTCCATCCCTGGTCCAGGAAGATCCCACATGCCTTGGAGCCACTGGGCCCAGGTACCACAGCTGCTGAGCCTGTGCGCTAGAGCCTGCCAGCCACAGCCACTGCAGCCCTTGTGCCCTAGAGCCCACGCTCCACAGTGAGAGAAGCCACTACCAGGAGAAGCCCATGCACCACAACTAGAGTCGTCCCCACTCACTGCAACTAGGGAAAAGCCTGCGCAGTGAAGACTTGGCACAGCCAAAAATAAATAAAATTATTTTAAAAAAGAAGCAAGACAGGAGGGTGGAGGGCATGCTAGCAGTGACTGTGTAGCCTGAGTGACAGAAAGGGGCAGGGAGGGCTGAGGGTGGCTGCAGGAGGTGGTGGTGTCAGGGGCTGCTGCCGTGGGCCCACCACCCCTCCAGCCCACTTACGCGGGGCCTCCTGGTGGTCACTCTTCTCCTCCAGCTTCTCCAGGGCCTGCTTTGCACAGTCCTGCAACATCTGGGCGCAGATCACTTCGGGGCCCTCAGCCAGCTGGTAGATGAGGGCCACGGCCGCCTCCTTGAATGGGACCCAGAGCGGGTCTGGGTGGATGCTGCCTGCACAGGAAGAGAGGGAAGCTGCCACTGCAGACAGAGGAGCCACTTCTGCCCCAGGCCCTGTGTTGCAGCTCACCTTTCGTGACCATCTCCCGCAGTCGCTCAAACAGGCGGTGCTCCTGGGGCAGCCGGAAGGGAGGGTGACGTTCGCCCATAGAAGGCTGTTGAGGGCAGGGAAGATAACGAGGGTGAGTGTTGAGGGTGGACAGGAGGACACCCACTCTCTCTAGTTTGGACGTTACCACCCCACATACCTTCCTCCTGTCCGAGACGTTGGCAATGGCGTGGCACACCTGCTGGGCCAACCTGTAGTCCTGTGGGAGCTTCTCGTCCAGCCCTGTATTCACCAGGGTGTCCAAGTTGCTTCCCACAATCTCTGGCTTTCCTCTAGGAGAAGAAGCCAGAGAGTTAAAGACACTCATGGACACCTCTGTGTGGGGAACACCACCAAGGAGGGTAGGAGCCAGCACCCTAACTCAGGGCTTCATGAGCCCTGGAGCACTACGTGTGGGGCTGGACCTCAGCATCCCTCACACACTGCTGACCCCACTCTGCTGGGCGGATTGGGATTGCACTGTCACTTTTTCTCCATTTAGGTGGCGATGCACACGCAGAGCTCAGCTGGGCCTGAGTGCTCTCACTGGAGCAGTAATAATGGTCCTCAGGGAACCTTCCTTTCCTCACTCACCCCTCAGCCTGTCTGATCTGAGCCTCACCGTGCCATCATCCCAAGAAGCATGACGGAGGAGCAGCGCTCCAGAGGGGAGCAGGGCACCTTCTCGGTTGCCCGCTCCCACAGCACCTGAGTCACTGCTGGGCTCAATTCATCCTTCTGTACAAACTCACAGATCTGGAGAGAAAAGAAAAAGGGATCAGGCCCCAAAGTAACAGTTCCCCTGACACTTGGGCTGCCTCCTCTGAGGAGAACACTGAGAACCCGAAATGGAGAGGAAGGAGGCGTCTGAAGATGTAAAGCTGGGGTCTGGGAGATACCTCCACCTCTGCTACTTTCTACTCTCCTATTTCTTTAGATGTTTCTTTAGATGACGTGCTGAAACTGAACTTGCTGAGTTCGTGCACATCTATAGTTTGGACAACACTTTGTGGAGATTTCTAGTAGGTTTTCTCACCGCTACCACCAACTCAATGTGTCCCAAATGGATACCATCATCTTTTGCCTTTTCATTTTGCCAATGACACCACCACCAACATTCATATGCTTCAAACCTCTGTCACCTAATTTTTTATGCATCGGTCACTCATTCCACCTTTTCTCCCTTTTAAAATTTGTCTCCCATGAAGTGCCACTCTACAGATGTTCCTCCCACCCCCGAAGTCCAGACCCCTGTCACTGCACACCCACAGCAGCCTCCAGGAACACTCCTGGCTTCGGCTCCCCCCAGCCTGTGTGCTGAGCTCTCCCAGACGTCTGCTTCATCAGGCCGCAGCCCTGCTCACCATGTACTGATAGAAACAGCTCTCTGTGGCCTGCTGTATGGGCTCCTGGCCAGTTGCTGCCCTGCGAGATCTCGGGCCAGGTGCCTCCAGCAGGCTCTTCTTTGCCCCAGTGAGGAGAAAACCTGGCCAGTGGTGCTGCTCCTCCCAGTGGAGGCTCGTGGTCAGCACCATCTCTGCCTTGAGCCCCACCACCCAAACCCTTCAAAGGAGCTCTGCTGCACTGAAATGCTGGCCCCTGACCGACAAGGTTCATGTCCTACACCCCACGGATCTTCCCAGCTCAGCTCCAACCCGTTTCCAGCTTCACTATCTTTTCCAGGTAATAATCTTGAGCCAGAATGCAACGGTCTTCCTTCTACAACACAGGCAGTGCTCTTGCTCGGCTCTGTCTGAAATGTTTCCCCTCCTCTCTTGAATTCTCTAAATCTGATGCATCAAGATCCAAATCAAGTCCTGCCACCTTCGGGAAGCTCTGCCCTTGACTCTTCGACCTGACACTGCTCTCTTCCATACTCATCAACATAACATACCAGGCAGGAGTATGTTTTCTGGAACTCTGAAGCCTGAGATTGAATCTTAAACTTTGTCATTAACTGGCTGAAGTTAGCCAAGTTCTTTAAAATCTCTGTACTTCAAGTTTCTTATTGGAAAAAGTAGATAATAATAATGCCTCCTAGAACCATTGTGAGGATGAAACATGTTAATATGAGCACAATGATTAAATTAGTGCCTGGCATAATGTGTTATATTACTGTTGCTACAATAACTGTTACCTACACCACTTAACTATATGCTGCATTGCTCTAAAATGTTTTATGTTTTTTGGCTGCCAACTACAGTTGAAAGCAAATAATCTTATATTTCTTTGAAGGGCTGAGTAAGTTGCTGAGCACACCATAATCTCACTAATACTTGCTGAATGAGTAAGTGGAAGTGAGCATACTTACGATTTCCTCAAGACACTGAATAGTCCCAACTGAAGCGTCCACCAGCAGCAGAGAGAGATTGTGAATCAAAGTCTGGGCCTTGGCTCTGTGGGAACAGCAGAGATCAGCAGTCATTAAAGGACGGAGAAGCTGAACCTGGAAGATAGGTTATTAGGCAATCCCACCAGCATCAAACAAAAAACAACTATTTCAGATAAACAGACAAAGAGAACAAACTAGCAGTCGCCAGTGGGGAGAGAGGTGGGGAAGCTGCAATATATGGGTAGGGGACTAACAGGACAAACTATTGTGTATAAAATAAGCTACAAGGATGCACTGTGCAACATGGGGAATATTTTATAACTAAAAACAATATAACCTTTAAGAATTGTGATTACTACAATGTACACTTGTAACTTATATAATGTTGCATTACACTATATTTCAATAAAAAGAAACAAACCAAATAACTGCTTAGGCTGGGTTTCACTGGGAGTTCCCTCCCCCAGTCCATCACAGACCTAATGCCTCTGGGTCTAGAAGTCCCCTAGGAGGAGCCCACTCCCCCACTTCCCCTCAGGAGACTAGACACGTCCTGGGAGAGGCTGACTTCAGGGAAGTTAGCAAAGGCCAATGCAGCCCGTGTACCTGGCGGAGTCCCCCTTGGGTTTGAGATAAAGTTGGCGGTAGGCATTAAGCACAGCATCCCGGACGCCAGGCTCCTTCGACCAGATGAGAGGCAGCATGCGGCGCACCCCAAACAGGGCCTGGGGTACCCCAAATTGGAACACCATCACAAAGAATTCAATCACCTCCTGCACCACTGAGAGGACAGACACAAATGTCACCTATCAGCACAGCGAAACACCCTAACACTTAAAGACAGAACCTCTCTTAATGTAGCAACATGTGAGGGGACACCCTCCCCATTTCTCCTGAGGACCCCACCTCCCTCCAATGCCCCGTGAAATACAACATGCACACTCCACAGGGCTACACCAGGCAAATGGAAGTAGAGAACCTGGGCCCTTCAAAGGAGCAGACGGCTATCAATCAAGTACGGATGAGACGGGTCCTTCCAACTTGCAAGCCCTGGCCTGTGCGGTAGGGATGCCGGCACACCTGTGGTTGTGTGTTCGTACATCATCTTGCTGATGATACCAATGGCCTTGGTGATCTGCAGGGAGAAGCTGTGGGCATCCTGCAGGTACTGCACCAGCAACTCCTGCTTCACCAGCTCATCACTGCAGTCCTCAGGCTCTGACCCACTGGGCTTGTCCTTACAGCCAGTCTCTCCTGGGCCCAAGTTCCCTGCAGCCGCCTGGGGATTCTCCTCCTGGGTGGGAGCTGCTGGGCCTAGAATTAGAGAATTACAGGATAGTTTTCGTTCAAGGGTATGTGGGGAAACCTAACAGTTCTAAACATCCATAAGTATGTGTTTCTACCACAGGAAAGTTTTGTTTTGCCATGCTATGCAGCTTACAGGACCTTAGTTCCCTAACCAGGGATTAAACCCATGCCCCCTGCAATGGAAATGTGAAGTCCCGACCACTGGATTGCCAGGGAACTCCCAATAGGAAAGTATAAATTTAGAATTTAGTCTAAAATATCTTGGCTCATTTCTCAGAAAAAGATTTCTTGAGTTGTCTATGGCTTGAAATACCCTCCCACTCCCTGTGACTATGGATCTCAGGCCTGTGGGTTGCTTCCATTCCCAAGCAGACACACTGCAGACACCCCTCTGGCCTCCTTCAGTACCAGGCTGTGAGTCAGGTCAGTGTCTGACATAAAGTCAATGGGCCATAAATACTAGCTGAAGTGTCCTATTTGTTGACTGAAGAAGGAAAAGGAATTTACCTTTGAAGATGTTTCCTAAGAGACTGAGGAACCTAGTCTCCTCTGACTCTTCCGGGTCCACATGACAGAAGGGTTCAGACTTCTGGAAGTGGCTTATGGCTTCTTGAGTGAGGATCATGGCCTGCCTGACAGAACACGGCCTGTCACCAATTCCGCCCCCTTGAGAGTGTCACTGCAGCCTGTGTCAGAGAGCCTAGTTCATGAGTCCACCGAGAACCCAGACCGTCTGGTGGAGAATGCTGTCACTTGTGTAAAAAGGGGTCGGGGCAGGAAATGAAGGTAAGTTTGACTGTGTGACTAAACATTATCTCTGGAAGGAGGTGCTTAACCACTACTGTTGCTGCCCTAAGGGAAGGGAACTACGTGGCTAGAAAGCAGGCTTGGAAGAGATTTTTCATTTAAAAAAAAGTATCATTAAAGAATGTATGTACGTGTGTAACAGTTACTCTGCTGTACAGCAGAAATTAGCACAACATTGCCAATTAACTATATTTCAATTAAAAACATATATATATATAGTTTCCCAAAGGTGAACTCTAAACCTAATGGGTCACGAGAGAATACTGCATTCTTTCCCATACTTGTAACTAGCTTTGGCGAGCAACCGACGGATGCGTCCTTCCACCTCCTTGGGAGTCTCCATCTCGGCAACGCCCTCAGACATCCCCTCTCCTTCCTGGGGAAGCGTCAGCAGCTGCTGCAGGGTAGCTTTCAACTCTGGCAGCATGGCCTCCCACTCCTCGGCGGGGTCTAGCTCTGCGGCTGAATGAGAAGGTTTCACTTAAGACTCTTGCCTTGAGCTCCCTGCTGCAGGGAGAAGGGTGTCGGGGTTGAAAGCTCCCCCGCAGCCCCTACTCACAAGGCGCTGTGGCTCGCCTCTGGGCCCTCATCTCTTGTAATTTCTGGGTCTCCTTTTGCAGCGGTCCAGCAAGGTCAGTGTCACTAAGCTACCAAGGAACAATGAACATCAGGGTCATTAACTCATGGAATTTCACCTGTTTCCATTTAATCCCTCTTCTGGGTGGGCCAAGGGCTACGTACCTTGCAGGAAAAGGGATTATTGGCAAGAAAGCTGGCGAGCAGCTGGATGGCGCTTTTACAGACCAGCACCGACTTGTCTGCCAGACGCCCCACAGCTAAGGCCACCACTGCCTGGAAACGCGTCAGGGGCAGAGCCTGCGGTGGGGGCAGGAGGAGAGGATCAGATCCCAGCCCACACTGGCCATAATGTCAAGATGACGGTGAGGTGCACTCTACATGTGTGAGCCACTCATCTGAGGAAACTTTTCTATGGGATGTGAGCAGTTCAGGAATACTGTGTGTATTAAGACGGTATAGCTTTTTTTTTTTTTTTCTGGTGTAGTTCTTGAATGGAGCCAGAATCCTTGTCCCTGATAGAGGAAGACCTTTACTACTGGCAGTGAAATCCTGAATTCTAGACTCTTCTTTGACATAGCTATTTTCCTTTTTCCTTCAGTCTGCATAGAGGGGTTCTGTGGATCTTTGTCACATCAATGGCCACTCACCTTCTGCTGGACAATTCGGGTGAAGAGCTGCAAGACGCGGCTGCGCACAAAGGAGTTGACATCGTGGCAATGGGCCTGCAAGGTGTCCAGGAACTGGTCCCGGGTGTCCCGGGATGCTTCCTCCAGCTGATCCCCACTCAGGACCTGCAGCACCATCTCTGCCATGGCCGCCAGCACGGCGTTGCGCATCATGTAATTCTGAGGGAGAGCGAGGCTGGTGGGGGCTCTGCACCTCCACACTGACGTCCTTGCCCTAAACTCTTATGCTGCTCAGCATCGGGACCTCAGTTCCCTGACCAGAGATAGAACTCACACCCCCCTGCATTGGAAGCTGGGCATTCATCCTGAGGTACTGGAAAAAGCTGAATGACAGAAGAGGCTTGTCTGCTCAGAAGAGAATGTAGGGACAAAACAAACAAGCGCCCAGAGCAGCACCGCACCCCCACACCGTGCAAGGAGGTAGTCATGGTGGCAGCTGAATGTGAAATCATATCCACTCATCAACACACGTCTGAGAAGCATTAATTACCACCTTGCTTCTGAGGCCTCAAAGCCTTTGATCCTTACTAGTAACACTGCCTTCCCTCACAATCTCCTTCCCACAATTCACTGACAGAGAAACAGCAATCAGCCCTAGGACTGACCATGTGCACTGCAGAATCTGATGGGAGAACAGTTTAGGGTTTTTGCCACGCCAAGGACCAGAGAATGGGGTCTTGCAATATAATGTCATGGTATCAAAAAAAACCAAAAAAACAAAAAAAATAAATATAAAGTCATGGTATCAGTACATCAGGTGAATAAGCAGATTATCGTGGTTCTTAACATTCACTAAGAGCTAGTGTCAGCTTGGGAAAGAGCCAGGTTAACACTGAGGACAAGAGAAGTGAGAGAGGTGATGTGGGAGCATCTGAGAGCCGGGAGGCAAGAAAGGGCTTCATCCTGCGGAACGGATGGACCCAGAACCACAGCCCAGTCTCTCACTGACTTAAGCTGTGGAACTGTCATCTCTCTACCAGGTTGGGATGAAAGTGTGATACTGACATGGCCCTTTAATTCAATAAACGTCATCTGCTTCTCTACAGGAAGGAATTGCCACAGTGATAAGCCGAGACAATTTAACTTCATGTGAAAGTTATTACCTTCATGTTAAGAAAGAGCCTTTTAACAATGGACTCACAACCCACTGACCAAGGGACCACCTACCTCTCCATCCAGATGGTCTAGCAGAATGCACATGCTGGACATCAGGATGGCTGGGATGCGCTCTGCAAGCTCCATCAGGAAGGCTGCAAAACCCTTTGCCCCCGTAGGGTCCCGATTCAGCTCCTGGGGACACTTCTGTCCAATCTCTCTACACAGGGGAATAAACACAGCCAGAGCAGCGTAACCTAATCACTTAGGTCCTGGCAAGAATTAAGTTGGCATCTAACATCTGAAGGGGGCTTCCCTGGTGGGTCAGATGGTAAAGAATTGAGAGGGTAACAGTTAGGAAGGCCAGAGGTCCCCAAGCGGCAGGAGGAAATAAACTCCAAGTGGCAGATATATTTTCCCCTTCTCTACAACAAAATTAAAAGAGGCTTCTAATAACACATGGTTCTGCCTTGAGCTAACCAATTTTTCTAATGGAAATATTTTTCTTAAGCTATGTCGATGAAACGATGTATCTGCTTTGGAATCTGTCTTTCTTCAAAATAGTTCCGCCTAAGACTAATTTTTTTTTCTTTTCTCAAACCTTGGGTTGATAATGGCTCAACAAACCAGTATTCATGTCAACTGTTTTATGGCTGGGGATGACAAACTTTGCACCATCCTATTTCAAAAATGTATGTTGTGGGATAGGGGCCAGGTGAAACTCCCTCAGCCTTGAGGGGTCTCTCTTATCTGATCAGCAGCTTGCTAACAGACATAAAATGCCTTGCTAGAAACTAGCAATGGGCACTCTTTCTGTCCTCTTCTGATGTCTGTGTCAGAAGCTTTCTCTATTATACTTTAATAAAACTTTGCTACACAGAAAGGTCCAAGTAGTCAAGCCTCATCTCTGAGCCCAGATTGAAATCCTCTTCTCCAGAGGTCACGAATTCTGGTGTAACACACACCGTGCAGCAGCAACATTTCAGAATCTGCCTGCCAATGCAGGAGTTCAATTCCTGGGGTGGGAAGAACCCCTGGAGGAGGAAATGGCAACCCACTCCAGTATCCTTGCCAGGGAAATCCTATGGACAGAGGAGCCTGGCTGGCTACAGTCCATTGGGTCGCAAGGAGTTGGACATGACTTAGCAACTAAACAACAACATCTGAAGGAATGTAGGGTTAAACAGAGGATTTGTCTCCAATATTCTTCTTCTCCCTGAGAAAAATGAGAATTAGAAACGTAGAGAAGGCAGGGTCACCTTACAATCTCTCCTACAATGCTCTTCATTCCGTAATCAGTTGCCCAAAGACTCACAGCTGCCACCAGGATGGATGCCAGGTGCTCAAAGTGCTGTAGCATCTGGATGATCTTCACAGTGGCACCTGTGGAGTCCTGCACATGAGCCACGATCCTGGGCCTCAGGAAGGGGTGGGGAAAAGGAAGGGCGGACTCACTCAGCATGTGGTTATAACGTGTCAAAGCTACACCCAGTAGGTGCATTATGGCTTCTCGGGTAGGGCGGTTCTTTTGGTGACTAATGGTGGGGTTCTCCAGGAGGCGGTAGCAGCAGCCAGTAACCAAGCTGAGAAAAGAAGATTAAGATGATATCAGTGGTCTGGACTCAATTATACTGCCCTTGCCTCATTCATTCTATCTCTGCTGCTGCAGTCAGGGTCTTCTAGTTTCTTCTACTCTATCACCTTCTACATCTAGTTGCTTTGCTGACCGCCATGTAGGTACTCCCTCCTTTCCACCAGTTATGATGTCTGCACAGAAGCTTAATATATGATAAAAATTGGACAAAATCACTGATGACTTCTCAATGTTGAATGGTCAACTCAGTCCTTATGTTGGCTGAACTTTCGGCTGCATCTGACATAGCTGGTCACTCCCTTTTCCTTGAAGCATGCCTCATCTGGCAGCAGGAGCCCAGGCTCTTCCCTGTTTCTTAGCTGGTTCCTCCTCAACTCACTCTCCTGATGCTGGAGTACCCCAAGGTACAGTCCTCTGATTTCTGCTCTCTTCTAGCTATGCTTACCGATTTACTGATCTCATTCAGTCTCATGGCTACAAACACCATTTATATAAATGCATTACATTCCCAAATGGGTGCTTGAGCTCAGATCTCTCTCCTTTACTACTTTGCTTTGTACATTTCACATCCGAATGTGACATTATTTGGATGTCTTAAAAGACAGCTCCAACTTTCTACATCCAAAGCAGAACTTCTACTTCACCCCCGCAACACACTCCCACAGGCTTTGTTATCTCACTTAGCAGCAACTCCATTTTTTCAAATGCTCAACCCAGAACCCTAGGTGAGTCATCCTCAACCACACCCTCCCTCCAACCTCTAATGCATCTGCCAGCTCATCCTGTAGGCTCTCCTTAAGGAACAAATACAGACTGTACCCACGGCTCCCCATCTCCTCTCCCTCTTGGGTCTAAGCTATGGCCATCTCCTGCCCAAGTCACCGCCACAGCCTCCTAGCTGGTCTCCTGCTTTCCTCCTTTCCCACCAGAGTCTGTTTTGACACAACAACCAGAGTGACCGTGTTAAAGCAGCCAGACCACCTCACTGCTCTGCTCAGAACCCCGAGGGGCCCCACCTCACGCTGACGGCAAAGTCACCGTGGTGGCCCACGGGGACCTGCAGTTGGCACCCCCCGCTCCAACCTCAGAGCCCGACCCTCACCTGTCTCAGCCGTCACTCTGGCCTCAGCGCTCTCACGTGGCGTGTTCAGCACGCTCCCTCCTTGGTGCCCACTTCCTGCCCATCTCTGCCTTCAGTTCTCCTCGAGGCTCTCATTACCTCCTCGAAGACTTTGCTCAAATGCCACCACCTCAAAAAGTCTTGCTAGAGCCGCTGATGCAAACTACAGCCCTTTCCCATCACACTTCCCACCCCCTGTTTTTGTCCACAGTAATAAACCTGAAAGCATACTACATATTTTGCTTATTTAAAAAATTGTCTTCTGCTCTAAAATACAAACTCGTAAGAGGGCAGAAATGCTGGTTTTCAATACCTTTAATGATACCAGCCACGTAGCTAAGAGATTCTCTGTAAATACTGCTACGTTGAGTGAATAAAGCTGTTTCTAACCTTCATTGTCTACTTCTGAACAACTCAACATAACTGGCACACGTCTATATATTACAGATAGAACTATGGCATAAAACGAAGTATTTCAAAAGCATCTCTAACACCAGAGCCCTCATTCCTCACGGCCAGCATCCCCTGGCACAGTCACCACCCACCTGACAAACTCCTCTTCGATTATTGAGTGGTTCCACAAGTGACGGATGTCCAACTGGAGCAGCTGTGTTAAAAGCTGAAGAATTGGTTGCCTCTCTTCCTCCCAGTCAAAGCCATGGGTTGCCTTGGCCCGGGATTTCCTACCCTAAAAAAGGATATATTTAGGAAAAAATGAGGAAGAAAAGAGGATCACAATCTGTTAGTCTGAGTGCCCAAGCTATTCAGTGTCAAGACAAGGTAGAAAGTAAAACAGAAGGATTACAAGTTCCAAAATATAAGAGCTGCTTCTCAGCGAAAGATACACTGTGATACTTTTGAGTACTTTCTCATAAACTTTAAACAAGGACCAAGGGCAGAAAGGGAAAGGATTCTCAAAATCACTGACTTCCATCTTTTCCACCAACTCCCCCATCTCCCCAGACCCCTTATTAAGTGAGCCAGGAACACTAAATTACCTTCCCGCCAAGCTCCAGGTCCATGAGACCTGTTTGGCTGCTCATGGTCTCAAAGGACTCCAAGAGGCGTATCAGAGCATAGCAATTCATCTTGAGGGCGTTCAGGTGGGCGCTTCTGTCTGACATACTCAAAGCTGCGTCATCCAAGACGGCAGGGAGCTCTTGGGAGTGGCGGGACACCACTGCAAAGGGCAGGATCTGGTGTCAGTTTCACTCACTTTCCTCATACCACCCAACTTCAAAGCCCCAGCACTTGCAGCCATCAGATTACCAAAGATCTGTGTTTCATCTCTCAGTGGCCACAGCACAGGCTAAGCCCTCTGGATCCCTGACCCTGATGTCCCGAGCATGCCCTATTCCTACTCTCTCACTCGTTACCCCACGTTCTCTCTGGCAACGGGAAGAACAGCCTCCATTGAAGAGAGGCAGCCCACAAGTAGGAAGAATATTGTCGGTCTGCCCTTACAGTGAACACACATTGCTCTGTATCGCCCACCAAGATTACAGACCTAGTAGGTCAGAGGTCCCGGGCTTAGCCAAACCAACTGATTCACCACAGCCTTGATATCATCACATGGCTGATAAAATGCAGGAAACAGCAAACAAACAGCAACATACACCTTCCATCCCCTACCCCCTTCCCATAAACACCTTTTATCAGGAATTCCAGTGTGTCTTCCTTGAGGCCAGGGTCTATACTTCGAAAGTGACTATGAGGGAAAGAAAGTGCCGGGGGTGAGCCAGGAACCTGCAGAGCCCATTCTAACAGGTCAGATCAAACCCAAGGAGTCTAACGCTTATAAAAACAAGTGAAATCACTCGACTTAATAAATTTGGTGGCGAGCTGGGGTAAATGCTCATGAGCAGAAATATCAGCACCCAGAAGCAAGTATCAGTGAACTATAATATGGAATATCCAGACTAACATGCAAAGTTAAGGCAAATAATCACCAGGTCTTTTTAAAGTACCAGAGGCGCTACTTTACTTACTGCAGAATGCTGTAGATGGTATCAAAATGCTCCAGCACAGCCAGGGGCCCCTGAGCTCGAAAGGCAGTCTGAAATGCTATAAAGGTGAAAGAAACTGATCAGTAAAGAGGGGAGAGGCATTTTTGGTTAATTCTGTTCAAGACAGAAAAAAAATGGAGTTAACTGATTTTCTTGGTAGAATCACTAAAGGACACAGTTCATTTCAATGTAACCTATTATAATAACACCTGACATTTTGTCCTGTTTTATCAGAACAATTGAGCTTTATTACTCCATCTCTGAGCAAAATGAAGCAAATAGTACTGTGTCTATTTTATGGCAAAAGAAATTAAATGTCAGAGTAGTTTTGCAACTTGTCCAACTTAATAATGAATACAAACTCAGAATTTTTTTAGATTCTGAAATGATAAAAGTAGTAAAAACAGTATAGAGTTCCTGTATTCTTCACCGAGATAATGGTAACATCTTATATTACTATAAGGATCTATTCTAAATCAAAAAATGAACATTAACTGAACACTAATGACTAACCTACAGAGCTTGAGTTTTGCCAGCTGGTCTAGTTCTATCCTTTTCCCAGGACAGGAGTCAACCTAGGACACCACAGTGCATTTAGCCATCACACCTCCTTACTTTCTGCCTATCTTTGTCTTTGACACTTGAAGTGTTGCTTGCCAGTTATTCTATAGAATGTTCCTCACTCTGGGTTTGTCTGCTAGTTTCTCATGATTAGGTTGAGGTCATGCGCTTTTGGCTAGATCACTGAGAAAGGGAGGTTGCGTCCTTCAACCATTATACCCAGAAGGACATGATGCCTTATTACTGGCAATGTTAACTGATCAGTGAGTAGGGTTTGCCAGGTGTCTCCACTGCAAAGTTACTATTTTCCCCTTTGCAACTAATAAGTATCTTGTAGGGAGATACTTTGCAACTATGCAAACATCCTGTTTCTCACCACATTCTGCCCCCTAATTTAAGCAACAATGAATGACTTTTACCTGCCACAAAGATTACTTTTATTAAATGGTGATTTGTCTATTTCTACCATTCCTTTTATATTTACTAGACTTCCCTGGTGGCTCAGATGGTAAAGTGTCTGTCTACAATGCGGGAGACCCGGGTTAAATCCCTGGGTTGGGAAGATCCCCTGGAGAAGGAAATGGCAATCCACTCCAGTACTATTGCCTGGAAAATCCCATGGACAGGGGAGCCTGGTAGGCTACAGTCCATAGGGTTGCAAAGAGTCAGACAGGACTGAGGGACTTCACTTTCACTTTCAATGGGAATGCCACTTTAAGTATGAGCTGTTTCTTTCCCTTCAATACATAAATTATGTATTCAATTATTTACGTCAGAATGGGCTCATGAATGTTTTGTTCATTCTGTTTTAATCCATTCCTATTACTTTTTCTTTTGTTGTTCAGACTGTCCTGTACTTGACCACTAGGAGCTCTTTCCACCCAGACTGCAAAATGCAGGACATATATGTGTGTAAGTATAAATGGACATACCCCTGTATCTATTTTTACCTCTCTAGTGTATATTAAAAACATAAGTTCATTTATGTATTTGCTTAATCCTAGTATACACATGTAACAGTTTCAGAACTGCTAACCCATACCCCTTTAAAAAATAAATTTACTAACTACCTGATGCTAATTGTGTAAAGCTCTTTTGTATACAGCTCACAGTCAAAATGCTGGCTTTCCTAGTTACTTAGTTCTTCAGTCCTTTAGTGTGTTATGTCAAACATTTGCAATATACTTAGGTTCATTTGCTACCATGGACCTGCTTTGATTCACCATGGGGCTACATTTGGAATGTGAGTGAAGTTGCTCAGTCATGTCCAACTCTTTGCGACCCCATGGACTATAGCTTACCATCTGCTATAAATTGAAAACATTGTTAAGTCAAAAATCTAATACTACCTCACCTACTGAATACCACAGCCTAGCCTAGTCTACCTTAAACACGATCAGAACACTTACAACAGCCTACAGTTGGGGGCAAAAATCACCTACAAAGCCTATTTTACAATAAAGTGGTGAATTTCTTGTAATTTATTGAATGCTATACTTCCTCAAAGTGAAAAGCAGAATGGCTGTCTGGGTAGAGGGTGGCTTTAAGTGTACAGGCGGTTTCCTGCTGCCGCTGCTGCTGCTAAGTCGCATCAGTTGTGTCCGACTCTGTGCGACCCCATCGATGGCAGCCCACCAGGCTCCTCCGTCCCTGGGATTCTCCAGGCAAGAATACTGGAGTGGGTTGCTGTTTCCTTCTCCAATGTACCCTTGTGATTATGTGGCTGTCTGGGAGCTGCAACTGCTGCTGCTGTCCAGTGTAATGAGAGAGTGTTGTTGTTGCTGTTTAGTCGCTCAATCATGTCTGACTCTTTTGCAACCCCATGGACTATAGCCTGCGAGGTTTCTGTTCATGGGTTTTCCCAGGCAAGAAAACTGGAATGGGTTGCCATTTCCTTCTCCAAGGGCTATTCCCCACCCAGGGATCGAACCTGAGTCTCCTGCATTGGCAGGAGGATTCTTCACTGCTGAGCCACCGGGGAAACCCCACAAACACAGCCTTGCTACCCTTGTATGGAGTTAATTTTTGAAACAACCTGTAAATCTAGCTCTTTTTGTGGGTGGGGAGGGAAAGAATTCTGTCAAAATCTTTTCTGCGGTGCCAAGTTGGTTTGCCTGGAAAGTAAAGCTTGAACCTGTACTCCACTATCACTGTTGGCTCGCTGACCTGATTCATCATCACGTTACGGTGTTATGTTGTCCAACTATGACCTGGTCCTTTGCAATTTTTAACAAACTATTTTATTTCCCCAGCTCCTACTGACTCCTTACAATATACTCACAGCATATCCTCCTCTTTACACGTTCTGACCCTTTGCCTCTCTTCCTTTAGTAGATGACTATTTTCTACTTTATCCAAAAAATGAGCCCCCAAATAATGTTGCCTCTCAGTCACAAATCATTCTGCCAACACCTTCCCACTTTGCTTCAGTCTCAAGTGAAAAGATTTTCTGTTCCAACGCTAAGCTGTTCTCACTGCCTTGCCAAAGTCTTACCTCCTTTCTCTCAACTCTGATTTCATCCTTTCCAGGGAACACTCCCTTTCTGACAACATGCTCAGGCCCCCACTTCTTTAAAACAAACAGTACAAAAATAATCAATGCCTTTCATTTGACTTTGCTCTCATGTCCCATTAAAATCTGTCTAATCTTTCTCAATTCACTGAAACCTAGTTTCTGAGATTGATAAATCTAACAGCTATTCTTTCAAAGATTACCTGTTACCTACTTTTTATTACATTCAATGATTCTCTCCATTCACACCCCCCTTTACCTCTCTGAAGCATCACCCACTGACCTAGTCTAGTCACACTGCTTACATTAATATCCAGCTTGAATATTTACTAGACTAAGTTACTTAGCTTACCAAGTCTCGGTTTCTTCTTTTATAAATTGGGAATAATAACAGATCGTATCTCTCAGGGCTTTTGAGAATTTTTTGGTAAAGATTAAGTGAGATAATCCATGTGAAGCAGCAAGGACAATACTTGGCACACAATGTAACTCAGTACTTGTAAGCCATTTCCCATTCTTACAAACCTCCTTCTGTAATCTAGAAAATACAGTAAAGTGAAAATGAGAAAGAAATACACTGTTAACATCTGGCTAATTTTTTTTTTCAGTTTATCCTCTATGTGTCGAGGTCGTATCACATATTCATTTCTCTGTTCTGCTTTTTAAAACTTATGAAGGTGGCTTGAAAAAACATACAACCATGCCAACTATTCTCATCCAGGACTTCAAGTAGGCCCTTAGTAAGCCTTTAACAAGTTCCCAGGCCTATTTGCTTTCTTCTAGGCATTATTGCACACCTTTTCTCTGCCCATAACAAAACAGAATCAGACAGAAGAGAACCTCCAGCTGTGCCAAACTCTGTATTTACCGGCAGGCACTATCTGCATCTGGGTCCACATGCTCTACTTTCTCTTGCACTGCCGTGGATAAACCGTCCTTGCTCTAGTAAAACCATCTCCCCCCCACCCCCCATCACATACTCTCTGACCCCTTAAAGGATACTTCTCCAATAATCCTTCTTCTCTTTCCCTCCTGCATCATTAACATTCCTCTCTCAGAGTATTCCCATTTGGCATGCATCCATGTGTGCTCAGTCACTTCAGTCACGTTCAACTCTTTGCAACCCCATGAACTGTACCCTGCTGGGCTCCTCTGTCCATGCGATTTCCCAGACAAGAATATTGGAGTGGGTTGCCATTTCCTCCTCCAGGGGATCTTCCTGGCCCAGGGATGGAAGCCAAGTCTCTTATACCTCCTGCGTAGGCAGGTGGGTTCTTTACCACTAGCGCCACCTAGGAAGCCCTACATTCAGCATAAACACATGTAATGTTGCTCATCTTAAAAAATAAAAATAAAAGTATTACTAAGTCTTTCCTTGACTCTGTTTGCCCCTCTAGCTACACCCTATTTCTCTGCTACTCCTTAAAGCAAACAAACAAACAGAAAGGCTTATCTAAACCTACCATCTCTAATTACCTCTCATCCCACTTTCTCACAAATGTATTCCAATCAGTCTTCTGACCCTACCATTCTGAAATATTTTGTGTTCATCAAGGTTACTAGCAAACACCACGTTGCTAAGTCCAGGATTAAATGTGCAGCTGATCTCTCCTTTCCCTTTTCTTAATTTAGCTTCCATTTAGCATCTTTGCTCACTTTCTGCCTCAATGACTGGCCCTTAATTTCTTCTACTGGTTCTTTCTCATCTTTCCAGCCTCCAAATGTTGGACTGTCTTAGGTCTTACTTCTGAAACTGCTTTTCTTCTTCAACTCAATCTCATGGCTTTAAACACCCTCTACATGTTGACTAGTAAATCCCAAATATGTATCAATAGTTGGCACCTCTCCCCTAAACTCCACAATCATATAACCAACAGTCTAAATCTTCTCCTTTCATACACTGCCCCATCTCAGTAGATGACAACTCCATTTTTCTAGGTGCTCAAGTCAAACAGCCTTATAATCATCCTCGATTCTTCTTTTTCTAACCCTGTAAATCTAATCCAGTCCAACATCAATCCTGTTGACTTTACTTTCAAAATTTACTCAGAATCTAACATTTTATGATCACCTCTGCTGCTATCACCCGAAGCAAGTTCCCTGGTATTATTTCATTAGCCTCCGAATTAGCCCCTGCTTCTTCCCTTGCCCCTTACAGTCTCTGCTCAACACAATAGTCACTCTTTGTGACACTATGGACTGCAGTCTGCCAGGCTCCTCTGTCCATGGAATTCTCCAGGCAAGAATACTGGAGTGGGTAGCCATTCTTTTCTCCAGGGTAATCTTCTTGACCCTGGGATTGAACCTGGGTCTCCTGCATTGCAGGCAGATTATTTATGTCTGAGCCACCAAATGTCCATCTGGGGATCTTCTTAAGAAATGGATTTTCTGATCCAGCAGTTTGGGGATGGGTTTTTATTCTGCATTTCTAATAAGCTTGTAAATCATGATAAGCTCCTAACTAATGATACTAATGCTCCTGAAGACCACATTTTGAGGTTCAAGACTCTAGAATAATCTGTATTACTTCCCACCTGACCTCTTTTTTCCTAGCATGCTCCCCTCCAAGCACACTGTCATTTCCCCGCCTCAGGGGCGCAGGATTGGCTTTCCCTGTCTGCCCTTCCTTTGGAATCTGCACAGTTAACGTCCTCACTTGTAAGGTCTCTGCTTAAATGTCACCTACCAGCAAGTCTTTTCTGGTCATCCAACATAAAATGCTGATCTGTAACACACACTGCATTCTTTTTTTATCTTTAAAATTTTTTCTCTTTGGCATTTACAACTTATTGCTTGTGGTAAGCCATGAGAAAAACAATTTTGTCATCTGTCTGTTTACTACTGTATCCCCAGGTGACGAGAACACTTCCTGGCACACAGCATTACCACCAGTAAATACTTCAACAAATTAAACGATCTGATCATGGGTTATTTACAGAACTTATATTTAGGATTCTAAATGCCAAAAGCAATGCAATTGTTATAAAAGATAGAAAAATCCCTTTGTCTATCTCTGCTCATCAGAGCAAGGAGCTGTCATCTGGTAACAATAACAGGAAGGCCAAGAAGAGACAAGCTGCAGTTTTATCAACAAGCTGCTTGATAATGAATGAACCCTGCTTGCTGTGGGCGATAACAAACTTAATCTCTAATCTCTGTAACTTTCCAAAGCAATCTAACTGATACAAGACACTTCCAAGCAGTACAGTGACATTATGCGTAGGGTCCTGCTGATAACTGCAGGAACTGTCTGTGGTCATCTACAGGTTTCAGTGTGTAACTGAATTATACATACACTGTACAGTATTGCCACTGTGCACATATGCTTTTATCCATCATTGCACTTTCCTGGAAATGTGATCTGGACTCTAAGAAACTATTACCTGAAACATGTCGGGTCAAGTCTCAGACATTCTAGGAAACATCTTCTGCTGTAATTCTTAAAACTACCACTCTATTCTGGCATATGGTTAAGAGGTAAACATCAAAAATTAAATTCTCCCCAAAGACCAATCATATACACCAGAACTGTTTATTGTGTAACTTAGAGAAAGTGGTTAATGAATATATTCTTCATGTAACACAACACTACAAGGAAAACAGAAAGTAATAGAAAAGACATGTCCCTCACCCCCATGGAGCTTAGTCGTGTAGTGAACAGACAATAGAATCAGATGCCGGCAGTTGTTCTGAAGCGCTAGTCACAGTGGCAGCTATGGAGTCTTACCTTTAAGGTGCGATGGAAGATGTCTGATGGACAGTACCTCTTGCACGACATACTGATTCACCCCTCCACTTTTCAACAACTCTTCTGGGGATAAGGGTAGATGGAATTCACATACTTGGGGAGACATCTTTCTCCCAATGGCTCACAGGGCTGGAAGCCAAACAGCAAATAAGTCAGAGTCTACATCTAAAGGCTGTCTTTTTAATCTGCTTCTTTTACTCTCCTCTTCAAATATACATGCTGTTTAGTTTTGCATCAAGCTAATAACATTATCTTAAAGGATGTGTTAACCCTGGACTAGAATTAAACTCTAATTGTGACTCTGACACTTGGTCACATCACATCACTCACAGTGAGGCCGCATCTGTAAAACAGGATTACTGATCTCTGATTACAAAGTTGCTCTCAGGATCAAATGAGTCAAGGGATATTAAAATATTTAAAGAACTGTAAAGTGGCATATCAACCCATTAAGTTAGCACTGTTATTTCCGATTTATGGGAAAACTTCTTAAGTATATAGAGAGGTTTCATTTGAGACCAGAACACTGACCCAGTGTGAAATGATGGGTTTCCTGTATCCAGAATGACAGAATATTAATATTTACTATTTGTTTACTCTGTGCCAGGTTCTATTATGCTACGCGAACGTCATACCTGATCTAAGTCTCTCCAAATGCCTACTGCATGGAGTCCATAGTAATTTGACTCCATTTACAGATAAGGAAATTGAGACTAAGGAATGTTAAGCGATTTGCCCAAATTCCACTGCGGATCTATGACTGTTTCCACCACGTTGTATCACAAGGACACATCAACTAGACCTCCAGTCTAATACCGCATCCCACTGCCGGATGCCAGATTTTCCCGGCCTCTCTTTCCCCGCTCCCCCAGAAGACCACACCTTACAAGAGAGCTTCACCCGCCGTTCCTCCAACTCGCGTTGTGGGGCTGGAATAAAAAAAAAAAACCAAAAAAACTCACGGAGGGCACAATATGCACTAATTTGCGAGGCAGCCCTCCCGCGGGGAGAGAAACCGGCCAATACCCGCCAGGCAGCGGAAAACACCCGCAAGCGAGCTCAGCGCGGCGCGGGCAAAGCCAAGAAAGTGGAATTCAAATCGCAACGGCCGCAAGGGACCCAATCGCGACTCTCGCTGCAGAGACCGGCCAATCAGAGCGCGGGAGCCGGAATGCCCGAGGAGGGCGGGACTTAGACTCCAGCTCCCTCCCCCCCACCCCCGCCCTCGCGGCCGCCTCGTTCCCTACAAGGTCCACTTTTTCCGCGGTGCCTGCCGGAGGTGTCGAGTTCCTAGCTGAGCAGTGGCCGTGCCCCTGGGACAGTGACCCACTCAGTCACCCCCAGGACAGGAGCTGACAGAAGGCTTAGGCTCTAGTCCAGCTTCGGCCATCTCCTCTGCTATGTGACGTCCAGCAGTTCACTTCGCTCCCTCAGCCTCAGATTTCCGCCCCGGTCGAATAGGGGGAATAAAAACAGCTATAGCGCAAAACTGCAGTGAGGCACAGAGAAAGGAAGCTCTGGGCTCCAGGTTCTGGACCTTCATGTCCCTCATTCGAGGGACGTCCAAGGAAACAAGAATGGGCGAATTTTCTTGCTTGAACTTCATTTTGGGTCTCCCTAAACAAGGAGACTACACCCTCCGCTCTTCTGGCGCATTAACAACTTCCGGCGGGCAGAACGGAAGCGGCGGGGCGGGGCTTGTGGTTGGGAAAGGCGGGGCTGGGGCGGGCCTTGAGCCCAGAGTTACCTGGGTAAAATCCAAGATGGCTGCGTGCACTTAGTACCCGTGTGACCCCAGCGGAGAAGGTTCTGTTATCTCCCGGAAGGCCACGGCTAGCCCTCCCTCTAGTGCTCGTGCGGTGTTGCAGGGGAGAGACGAGAGCAATGGCAGGGAGCCTCTCTTGGGTGGCAGGCAGGTGCTTATGGGGCCAGGTGCCGCTGGCCTGCAGAAGTTTCTTTCTGGGTAAGTGGCTGATGCAGGACACCCCGAGAACTGCTTCTCGTAAGCGGCTCAGATTCATTCTCTTTCTTTCCCATCCATAGGCTTTCCCAGATTGTTTCATGTAAGGGTCACCCTCCCGCCCCCCAAAGTGGTTGATCGTTGGAACGAGAAGAGGGCGATGTTCGGGGTATATGACAACATCGGGATCCTGGGTAAGACTTGACTCCGTGGTGCAGAATTTCAGAATCGCAGTTACGCTGTAACGACTGTTTTTTCACCTGCGTGGAAATGGTACCTTGTTGAATAGTAAGAACAAACACTTATCGGGCAGTTTACTTGGCACTCTTCTGTGTCCCCTGCATGCATTTAGCACATTTAATCCTCATAACTTTTCTCCTTTGCAGGTAAGGAACTTCAGGCACAGGGAGGTTAGGTAGTTTTTACAAAGCTAGTACGTGGCAGTGCCAGAATTTGTACCCCAAGCAGTCTTGCTCCAGAGTCTGTGCTCTTTATACTGTAGCCTGACTGTCGTGTCTGTAGGTGCTGCTGAGGGAAATGCAGCTGTTGGTGAGGGCTTAGCTGGTGGAGGTTGGGTTCTCTCGGATTGGAACTAATGCCTTCTGTTACATTACACAGGAAACTTTGAAAAGCACCCCAAAGAATTGATCAAGGGCCCTGTGTGGCTTCGAGGCTGGAAGGGGAATGAACTGCAGCGTTGTATTCGAAAGAAGAGAATGGTAGGAAATCGGATGTTCATTGATGACCTGCACAACCTGAACAAACGCATCAGCTTTCTCTACAAACGCTTTAATCGACATGGGAAGCACCGGTAGAAGAAAAAGCTGGGAACTGTGGAAGAGGCATGTCTATCACCAGAGAAAAGGGAAAAGTACTTTTCCTTATGAGGAAGGGGATTTGGATGCTGTCAGTGATAATGCAGGATTCCTTTGTAATCCATTATCCACAACTTTAGTTTCCTCTAAATGCTAGTTTTACTCATTCATGCAAGGAGGAGGTGGAACTCATCCCTAAGTCTTACAGTTTTAGCTTTGGACTTCATCACTTGCCCTTGCAGTCTAGCCATACTTGTAGTGTTTAAAAAATAAAAAAATCATTGTTGGCACTTTTGATGTTTGGCCTTTCATATATTGAAAGTGGTCATTTTAAACTGTCCCATGGGGACTTCCCTGGTGGTCCAGTGGCTAAGACTCTGCACTCCCAACACGGGGAGCTCCGGGTTTGATCCTTGGTCAGGGAACTAGATCCTACATGCTGCAATTTAGACCCAGACCAGTTAAATAAACATAAAAAAAAAAAAAAACTGTCCCATGATGCCATGTTAAATGTATTTTTAAAAACTTTTCTGCACTGGAATGAAATAGCATAGAAAAATAGTTGTACTTTTACACTATTCTTGTCAAAAAAATATTTATCGAGTACCTTTTCTGAGATGAGAACTATAGGAAAAACAGTATAAAATATTCTCCCCCCATGTTTTTCTAGTTACGGGTATGAAGTTATAGTCTTATATGTACACTTTAATATATGAGGCCTTAAGTACCACATGAGTGGTTCCTAAGCCTTATTGATCATCAGAATCTCTGCATAGTTAAACAGTTTAAAAAGTAGTCCCTGCCCCCAAAGACTGTGATCTTTAGAACTGAGCTGAGTCTTAAGTCTTTTTGGTTTTTTTTTTTTTTTTAATAATTAAAATGTATCCATCTATATAGGCAGATAGTTCAAAATTGTAAAATTACAAAAGAGTAAGATGAAAAGTTTTCTCACAGCTGGGTTTTTTTTTTGTGTGCTTCATTTCAAGGCAATCATGCATGACATTCTTTTTAATCCTCCTGGATATTAATATATACTGTATGTGTACGAGATTGTTTTATCTATCTACCTATCTTCTTTCTGAAAAAGTAGATTTCATGCACATTAAGTTACATTTTCACTTAATGTAACTTAGATCAGTTTTTTGTCCTCACATTATATGCCATAATGATTTAACCAACTCCATTTTGATAGACATTTAGATTGTTTATCCGGTGGTGCAGTGATAAAGAATCTGCCTGCCAAGGTAGGAGACACAAAAGACAGGAGTTTGATCCCTGGGTCGGGAAGATCCCTGAAATAGGAAATGGCAACCCATTCCAGTATTGCCTAAAAAATCCCACAGATAAAGGAGCCTGGCGGGGCTATAATCCACAGGGTCACAAAGAGTTGGATGCAACTAAGCATACATGCACAATAGTTTCTAGGCCTTTGCTTTGTCAAAGTATGTCTTCTCTGATTCTAGAGCATTCTCATTTTAACAGCCAGTTTATTTTAATGAGCTATGTTTGGAAACCACCGATGTGGGTGATATATAATCTAGATAAGAGAATGCTTTTGGCCTAATAAGGAGTGGCCCCATACAAGAGGATGGATTTTAGTAAGCAGAGAAAGAAGTAGAACATTGCCAGTGAGGAAGAGAAGAGTGGTCAGTGGTACATGGTGAGGGAACACAATTTGTTGGGAGATGGCTGGGTGGGTCTAGCTGTAATGAACCTTAGTATGACACTAGCTGCTTTTTTGTGTTTTAGATAACTTGCTCAGGTATAAATCAACTTAAATGTTTGACATTACTCAATTGAGAGGAGAAAAATATGCTACAGTTTCTAGAATTGTGTATTGATTAGGGTTAAATTGAGTGTCATCAGTGCCTAGTGCATGTGAAGTGAAAGAAATTGTGAAAGTGTTAGTCACTCAGTCGTGTTCAACTCTTTCTGACCACATGGACCATAGCCCACCAGGCTCCTGTGTCCATGGGATTCTCCAGGTAAGAAGACTGGGATGGGTAACCATTACGTTCTCCAGGGGAATCTTCCCATCCCAGGGATCAAACCTGGGTCTCCTGCATTGGAGGCAGATTCTTTACCATCTGAGCCACCAGGGAAGCCCAGTGTTTGTGAGACTCTCAGTAAATATTTGCAAAATGAAATAAGGAAAGTATTTGATGTATTGTTTTTAAAGAGATCTTTTATGTAGGTTATAAGTGCTAGTTGTGTTTCTTGGAAGGATGTTTTAGGTTGATATGAGTAGTATAGTATAGTTTGGGGAGGGGCATATAGGGTAGCTCAGACGGTAAAGCGTCTGCCTACAATGCAGGAGACCCGGATTCGATCCCTGGGTGGGGAAGATCTCCTGGAGAAGGAAATGGCAACCCACTCCAGTATTCTTGCCTGGAAAATCCCATGGACTGAGGATCCTGGTAGGCTATAGTCCATGGGGTCGTAAAGAGTCAGACACAACTGAGCGACTTCACTATATAGTATAGAAACTATTGATTAAGAACATGGCCTTTGGGGTCAGACAGATCTGGGCTTAAACTCAAGCTGGAACACTCTGTGGCCCTGGGCAAAGGAATTAACTTCTATAAGTTTGTTTTAGTCTGTCTATTAGGAGCAGTACAATACTTTTCTCGTAGGGTTGTGTGAAGAATAAATGAAATTATACACATAAAATATTTAACACAATTTGGCAAGTGTAAATGGTAATGACAGTCCTCTGGAGTGTGTGTAGGGCTTTGGAAAAATGGAAGAAGACAAGGGAAGACTTTTTACGGTCCCTTTACTTTGAGTCATCCGAGCCCCTGAACTCACATGTTTGCTTTTTGACCTTGCTTGGTTTTATATGTCTCTGTGTCCATCTTCCCCATTGACTAGGGCTCGTCTTCATTCAGGGCAGGGACTGTCTTGCACACATTTGTTCACTGTTACTAGTCTCATACCTGGTCTCTTTGTATACTGGCTCTTAATAGATCCTTGGTAAATATCTGTAGAAGTCACACATTCAACAGCCATTTGTTGAAGGCTACCAGTAGGTTCGAGGGATACAAAGGAAAAAGAAAAAAAACCAACAACTGCATTTAAAGAACTCCTCCTAATGCAGGAGGTAGACAAAGAAGCATAGTTACAGGGGGAGACGGGGAGGGAAAGGGATGACTGAGAGTTTGGGGATGGTAGATACAAACTCTTACACTTCAACACATTTAGGATGGATAAACAAGGTCCTATTGTGTAGCACACGGAACTATACCTAACCTCCTGGGATAAATCATAATGAAAAAGAATGTGTATAACTGAATCACTTTGATGTACAGCAACTAGACTTCAATAAAACAGGGCGAAAAAGCATGATTGTAAAATCTGTTATGGCATTTAAAGCATGTTAATTACCTGCTGTATAGGTACAGAGAAGAGGGACCCTTACCTCATCCTAGGGGAGCAGGAATGAAGGCAGGGAAGGCTTTCTGGAGGAGGCAGTTAACCGAGATACGGTATGGAAGTTAGCCTGCTTTCCAGGCAGATGAAACTGAAACAAAGGTCAGAGGTGAGAAACAGCCTGGCACATACGGGAAAGCTGTGAATGGCATTTGTTGGCAGAGCTAATGAGAAATTGGGCAGGAGATGGAGGCCAGAGTCAGATTATGAAGAAGACTAAAGAACCAAGGGGACTTCCCTGGTGATCCACTGGCTAAGACTCCACGGTCCCAGTGCAGGGGTCTGGGGTTCAATCCCTGGACAGGGAGCTAGATCCCATGTGCTGCAACTAAGACCTGGCACAGTCAAATGAATAAAAATACTTTTTAAAAATAAAATATATTTAAAAAAAGTAAAGAGCCATTAAGACTTAATCTTTAGTAAAATGGTGCAACCATTTAGGAAAACTGGCACTTCCACAAAAAGTTATATAGAGAGTTACCATATGACCCAGCAGTTCCTCTCCTAGGTATACACCCAAGAGAACTGATAACATAGTCACAACAAAAACTTGTAGACATGTTCATAGCAGTATTATTCAGAATAGCCAAAAAGAAGAAACAACCCAAATCTCCATCAGCTGACGAATGGATAAACAAAGTGTGGTCTATGTATACAATGAAATATTACTCAGCTATAAAAATGAAAGAGGGGGCTTCCCTCATTAGTAAAGAGTCCACCTGCCAATGCAGGGGACATGGGTTTGATCCCTGGGCCAAGAAGATCCCACTTGCTGTGGAGCAACTAAGCCTGAGCACCACAACTACTGTGCCCATGCTCTGGAGCCCATGTGCTGCAACTACGGAAGCCTGCATGCCCTGAAACTTGTGCTCTGCAATGAGAAGCCTGTGTACTGCAACTAGAGAGCAGCCCCGAATCACCGCAACTAGAGAAAAGCCTAAGCAGCGGTGAAGACCCAGCACAGCTGAAAATAAATACAATCATTAAAAAAAAATGAGGTACTGCTGTAACATTGAGGAACTTTGAAAGATAAAAGAAGCCAGTCATAAAGACTATATATTGTATGGTTCGATTTATATGAAGTGTTCAGAATAGGCAGATGACAATAGACAGAAAGTAGATGAGTTTTTGCCAGGGGATGAGGTAAGGAGTGAGGGATGGGAGATGACTACCAACAGGTATGCTGGTTCTTTTTGGGTTGATGTAAGTGTTCTGGAATTGGTAGTGATAATTGCACAACCTTATGAATATACTAAAAATCGTGTGATTGTATACTAAATGTGTAGGTTCATATGGTCCATGAATCTTATCTCACTTTATGGCTAAATTAAGCTTTCTTTTTTTAAAAAAAAAATCAGAGTAATACATGTACATATAGTTAATCAAAAAGAAAGGAAAGTTATATGACAAAAACAGCAATCTCTTGCCTTACCCATCTATCTTCCAAACTAGCTTCCCAGAATGAAAGGCTTTTACTTTTTTGAACTATTCTGTTATTTGTCATCATAATTTGAAATAAAATGCCCTCCTGCTCTTCATGGTTTAGCAGCTTTAGACATCTATTAGCTTCC